AAGGGTGGAAATCGTGAAATTTAGAACAATGCTTTGAATATCCGAGACATCTCCCCCAACAAGAAGCTGGAGTGAATAAAGTACGCTGCCATAACTCCAAACACTTGGTAATCACGATATATTTGTACTTTAATCTTACTATGAATAATGAATGAAAGTGATGAGCCGTAAGAAGTCAAGCATTATGTCCTATATAGTGGCGAAGTTGGACGTTCTCGTAAAAATATTTTACGTGGCACATTCAGCCGCATTACATGTTCGATGATTGGATTTACTGAAAACATCAATCTTTGGTGTCATCTGTGGCGATTCACTCGAGACATGAAAACAGGTATAGAGGTAGGAATGCGATGACAGTTTTGGTTAGGTTGGGGAATTGTCGCAGAATTTCCATTACCAACTCTGCAATTTATAAACTTATCCAGCTGTTGCCGTTTTAATTAAAAATTCCTAATGGTTCATGTTCTCCAGATGCTTAGATAGCAGAAAATCACTATGTGAAAATGCTAAAACGAGTTCAAACTTTTTTTAAAGTAAAGAAATATACCCAAAAACGGAGATAGTGGGTAAATCTTTCTGCTTAATAAAGTATTATTCAAACAAAAGGAATAAGACTTGGTGGCATAGCTGACGCTAACAAAGCTTTGGATAATTGTAACTGGAAGATGGGAAGTGCATCCGGCTTTCGGCCAGTGGATCAACTTGCATCAGTTACGGGTGGAATTTGGGACAGGAGGCTGGGTAAGACGAATTACTTGAACTATCAAGGGTCGTCCAGTTAGTAAATTTTTTGTATGGTGTACCTGCTGTCCCCTTTTGGGCCACTTACCTGTGGGTTGCAGGAAATGTGAGAAATTGCGAATGCCACGGCGTGAAACTCCCAGAGTTGCCTAGGCTAATGTGCCAGAATCAGTCCACTTTATCGTTGAGAAAATCTTTTAGCGAATTTTCATGCTTGGATCTGTGATAGGCTTGCAAAAAGTTAAGGGAAGCTGCGTTTTGAGAAGTAATTTTTTTTACAAGTGGGAAATTTAATTTACCGCTATCTGATGGAAGATATATGTTTCGGATATTTTTCGCGTCTGGCAACTTTGTTCTACTTTATTAAAATTAGGCGAAGAACCTACCATGCGCACAATTCCCATTTTCAATTTTTACCGACCCTACTTTTGATGAATATTACGTTGAGTTTTAAGTTTCGTTGCACAGTTTCAGCAATAACTTATGCAGATCTGCTCTCCTTTATAAGGTTGATCTAAATCTGGTCAGAGACCTTCAAATTTTCCCAAAGCCACTCAGAATGGCATCTTTACTCAAAATTTATTTCCTGTGACTTTTAAGACCTTTTAAACACCATGAATTTCATCGTATACACAGACTAGTCGCCGATGCCTTCTGAAAACTATTCCCCTGGAAGTTGCAATAATTTAGCAATGTTAGCAAAAAAATACGCTATAGTATGATTTGATGCTTTTGAGACTGAATTAAGGTGGCTATGCAGTGGAAAAAGCGGAACACGGTATCAAGATGTCTTCCTTTCCTTTTCTTTAGTCCACTACATAGACTGACCCATTTTGGCTGTGCGAAAGGTTTTTTCTCAAGTTCATACTCTTCACGTAATGCATTCTCCTTTATAGAGACGGTGGACGGGGTTGAATTAGAGGTGGATGCCATTCAGATGAAGCGCCTGCGAAACGCTGGCAGAAATTCGGGCATTTTTGGGGAAGACACGCTCCTCGTCGACATTCATTGACAAACTTTGCCTCAAGGCGATGGATTGTTTCGATGGTGCCCCTCACTCCTTCCTCTCCTCACCCACTTTATCAATTGAGAATCCCCGCCTAAACCACACGACTTTGTAAATAGAGCCCACTTTGTTGCAAGGATCTTGCTCTTGCTATGAAAAGCGGATTATTAGATGAAGGGGGGGGGGGGGGGTTTAACTTAGGTGTGAGTATTATTTGGTTTAATCTACAGAAAAGTCCTTATTTTTGGATTTCAAAATTTAGTTGCCCATTTTAATAACTGCACTTCCTGGTGAACAGTGAAGTCGATGATCCAAACCATATTGCCCCCAAAAATGGAGTGAATAGGAAAAATGACTGAAGTGACCAAAAAGGAGGTGGACGCGGAATTAGTATGTTCTGTTCTCACGGATTTTGGTAACTTACATATAAATGAAATCGGTGTTCCCGCTGAGATGCGCCTATACAAGGTTTCACGTCACTATTTAGCGTATTTACCCAGATCCAAGCCTATATGGCGATGGGACACTTTTGGAAGCACTATCAATGAATAAGTAATCGTAAATTTTTGTGAAAATGTATTTGGTTGGGATATTCATACGTGATATTAGTAACTACAATGTGAAATGGCAGGACATATTGCACTCAGGCGGCAACCTAATCACTCCTATTTTACTGTATACTGCTGCGTCGCTGGCAAGGGTTCTTTTGAAACCGATCTTGTCAAATCTATGAAGCGTGTTACCATTGCTTACATTGTATTCAAATACTTGAAAAATATCATAAATATGGCTCACCCCCTGCTTCCACATCATTGTCAAGATTGTACACGCATAGAGCACGCTGCCAGGTACTGTGAGGAATGATTTTATTATGAGTCTAATTATCCACGAAAGTCAGTTCCTGGGCTGTTGCGGGATCAAGGAACAAGAATGTGAGGGTATATTCCTATCAGCTCGTAATAACGTTTGACCTGTTTCCTTAAGAAAGACGGAATGCTCGATCTAAAAAATCTGCTACATCACCATTTTATAAGGCATATATTTCGAGTGAGATTTTTAGGTGAAAGTAAACGTATTCTCTTTAATCACTTCCACCGACAGCGTGTTGTGGGAGAGTTGTTTCCGTGTCTTCTTCAATTTATGATTGCAGAATTTTTGCTCTATTGGGTGAATATGCCCCTGGAGAAGGTTATTTTAAAGGTGAATCATGTTCTTCATTATAATGCAAGGCAAAAATAGCCCGTCAGAACCCCCCGAAAACGTTAATTAATTATTTATGGGGGTCATTGTTGTCTTGACTTCATATCTGATAGAGAGCGGTTTGCCAGGGCTTGGTGTTCCAAGGCTTTGCTTTTTCAGGTGCGGAATTCGCGCCTACACTAGACCCCTTCAGCCACCAACGTTGCACATTGTCAATCTACTGTTGCAATTTGGTAGGCTTTAAACTACTTATCAACAGGATCGAGTGTGTTTTATATATGCATTTGACGCACTAAAATTGCAGACCACCGGGCTACTCATATAATCACATTTACCAAAAAATATGGAAAATAGAGCCAAATCATTCCAAAAATACAAACAACAAATAAAATGATTGAAAATAACTACGAAATTATGTAGTTTTTAAAACGACTAGAAAGTCACAAATTTGTGGAATACGTATTCAATCATGGCAACGGTTAGGATACTTTTCAAACCGGTCCTGATTTTGAAGTAATATTCAAAGCTTGTGCCAAATGCAAAAGTAGGGTTAGTTCGTTTTTGCTAAATAGATGGTGGAAGCAATTTTGCAAGATTAAATGCATTTTTACGACCACGAGAAGATTCGCTGTGGTGCTTGGCAAACAGCGATTTACAACACGTTGAGGACATATTCTCGATATCTGCAATTAAATCGCCTTCACACTGGTCCTGTCTGAGAAAAAAAGGCGACATTTTCTTCAAATTGCTTTAATAAATTAGGACCTGCACCTTTGGTTTAAAAAAATTCCTGCCAAATACACAAAAAACGAATTTTGCTCAGTTCCTGCGATTCAACAAAACAGCTAGTATTTATTACTGCACATTTTTCTACCTACTTACTTTATGTACATATACATAACTGACGTTGAATAACTCGCTGATTTTTACATCGCTACTGACATTGATAGCACAGAAGCTAAGTATGGATTAGTCTGTCACAAATTTTTTGAATTTAAGCATTTATAACATTCCGGACTGTCTGAAGTAGTTGTCGTGGCTCACGCATCTTGGAAGCATCCTCATGTATCACATCAAATATCAACGTGCATTCTGGGATGTGTGAGAAATTCAAACAGCTTTTTAACTATCTGAGGTAGGGGATAAAAATTGTTGCCACAATATGGATGATTATTATTAGTAATTGATCATCACAACGAAAGTTAGACAATATGTGAGCCTTTAACTGCAAACTCCAATTTACTTCATGTATCGCAGATTCGTGAACTTCAACCCAACCCTTGGGATACGATATTGGCGTACGTGTGAGCTTAACCATGGGAGATTCAATCTCTGTGGATTTTACTTCCGTCTTGGCACCGTACTTTCCCCCCTCCCCGCAAAACTATCTGCGCATCAGTGATAAGCTTTCCTTTTACATTGGTGTACCTCATTACGATTTCGGGGATGGCTCAGGGAGCTGCAGAAAATAAATGTGTTTGTATTTCCATTTTGGTCCTCGGTGTCTGTCTAAAAAAAACTGGACAATGAAAAACGAATTCGTTGATTTGGTTATTTATCTGAGATACGCATCACACGTGGAAACAATGAATGGTAATGCTATAGAATGTACATAAATGATGTTGATTTTCAGCCTGTGCGGCATCTTTGCACTGGGATACTAAGCATTTCAAGCCGTCATATGGATGCGGACACAGTTAAGCACAAATAGTCTGCAAAGTACCGTTACAGATAAGACTCTGCAGAGTTTAATTTTACAGGGAACATGGGAGAACTTTCCCATCATTCGTATGCTGGTATGATATCGCATTGGCCATATTTGAGGTGAAAGAGTACGACTTTAGAGTACTTAGAGAAATTTATTTGATCGCCTTCAAAGTTAGTTCGCTGAAACTAAATGCACTTTTATGAATATTTTAAAATCCCCATTGTACTTTTGCCACCTCCTTCAAACCCACTCAAGACATAGTAAACTCTTAATGTTATCAGTTTGCAAAGCAAAGACTTTGATGGAGGTAACACATCATGGCTGTATAACATTGCCGTGCAATAAAGAAGCTATTAATACAATATGTATTAATCAGCCTCTAAAGGGGCCATAAGTAGTCATGAAATCCCCTAATTATCCCATTACACATCTCAATGTCCTCCATGAGTCAATTCAGAGAGGTGAATTTCCTAAAGTAATTGAAGACAACTTCCAGCATTTATCTGCACGCTGCTCTAAGACGTCATAAGGTCCATAGGTTTGCTGCATCTTTCATGTCTAATTGATCCGATTTCTCTGCTACATTCGTATAAACAAATGTCAAAGCCTTGTTCATCACCCCTAATTGCTTTGAGCACCATATTCTGCCAGGCAGACGTTTTTGGAAGGTCCCAAATAAACGGGAAGTGGACAGATCTGTATCATTGCCTGTTGATATGACTTCATATTCAGTTAGTTACCTGGCTGGTAGGAGATTCGGTTTGATTAAAGGATCATTTGAAAATTTAAATGGAGAGTTGGTCTTCAGGAGGAGGGAAGTAGAGAATTGTTTGCTTCATCCTTCCAAAACCTTTTCGTCAATAACACACCCTCAGGTTACTTGATCATTCGACCTAGTTAGTGAAGTTTTTGTGTGAACATCCTTGATCAGTGATAGGGTAAAGACAGCTGTGGAGATTTAGATGCTATTGAAACGACTTTAAAAAGACGGTAATAAGGTCATTTTGGGCTGGAGTTTTAATAATTTTTTTTTTTGAAAAAGACTTAATTTTGAGGAAACAGTAAATATTAATCAATGTGAATCTCTGAAAGGATTTACTCCTAGCACATTAAAAGCACTACTACGTTGTGTAGAATGCGATTATTTTTACTATTAACCTATTTATGACTGTCTACTTGTACCCTTATTTAATGTGAAAACTCCATTTCAATATGTACTGATGTCATTCACTCATAATTCAAAGTTTTTGATTATTATCAACTGATCGTTCAAGTTTTATTCAAGTGGCAAGATTGATGGTACGAGTTTAGGCTACAAATCACAAGAGTCTTTGGACCGTCTGAAGTGAGATATCGGAAAAGCTGATGTCACGCTTGCTTTCTGAGTGAAAGCGTGATGAGTGACAGGTTTTAAACTGTCACACTTTTCGTTAGCATAAGCACTTAGAGACGCCATTTAAGCTGTTCTGATTCGTTAAGTGTAATAAATTTCTTGCTTCGCATTTGCCTCGCTGAAAGTATCTTAAAGAGCAAATTCTCTGTATAATCATGTCAATTGGCGGAATTCATATGGAAGACACTGCTGAATGGTATCTCTAACCTACTAGGGTGGGTTTGATCTCAAAGGACGCCGTTGAATAAGTTTGACTGTGGCACCTTAGTGAGAAACGAAATACAAATGACTGGCAATAACAACAGGAATTTGATTCCAAATTGGAGATGCAAATGTACTTTATTTAACATTGTGCTAATTTCAGCACTTCCTTAATAGTTTATACTTTTCAAAATTCGCTTTAATTGAATGAAAGCAGTTTCCAGACGTTGCATTTTAACTATGGTGGTTTTAAATATTTTATAAGCTGGATTATAATACCTCTAGGTTTTTTTCCTCTCTGGGGGGTTCTAGTATTGCTTCATGCAGCCGTTTTAATGGCGAGAGTTTGCTAAAGCAATTATTCAGCAGTTATGTAGAGCCCATCAACTGGGTGACCTTAGCGTGTGATGTCGGACATAAAGAATACCATCATATAACTTCATGCAAATCAGCAAGGTAAGTGTTAAATTAACCGTCAGTAGTGGGCAATATTCCCTTTCCAATTTTGCTTTCACCGTTTAGTAGCCCAAGCATAACAGGCGGTGCTTCCACTAACCATTAGAGGAGATCTCTTTCGATAGGTGGGCTATGATCAAGGGTCGCCTCGCTAATATGCCCTTTCGCTGAGGCTTCGAATGGGTTGGATCAACCGGGGGTTTGTAACCACGGCATAACTGAGAGCTAATTTCTAAATGGAATAAGCAGCTTCCACTCGTGGATGATCAATTGACAGATACTGTATAATTAGTCGGGGGATGGAAGGCGACAGAAATTACACATCCAGTAGAGCATAAGTGTACAATCAGATAAAATATAGACTTTAAATCGGCGTACATTATGGGTGAGCCGTTTTTCATTTAGACTTAAGAAATGTTTTAATTATTGCAAGAACAACGGTAATTTCTCAAAGAAATATAAGCGCTAAAAGTTAACTGCTTCGTTACACACCAATTTCGTAATTTCTGACATTTACACTTAACATTAGGAATAAGTGTACGAAAAGAAGCGCACTATTTGGATAGGCACGATTTTCAAATGCACGTTAATTTACAAGTGATTTTTGAGTCAGTACCCCTTTTGTTGGAAAAAACCCTACGATAAAGATAATTGACTTGCAATAATGCTTGTAAGGAGAGATCCAGCTTTGTAGATGCAGAAAAATCGTTTAAACTGAAGAAAAACCATCATTAGTGCATATGCCCCGAAACGTCTCTCAATGATGTGATTTCGACTTCGACGGCGTTCTTTCAGTGCCAGGTCAATGAAGTTTGAAGTACAGCTTGTATGAAATGGAGGTTCTCCTCCATTAACAGATTATTGCTTTTAAAACTTAGGCAAAAGAAGTATTTACCCAATAAGAAATACCGTTTGATAAAGTTAAAGAAAACCCCTATGAAGGCAAGTGCTAAAGAGTCCTACCAATTCGCACCTGTTAGCTGAGGACCAGGAGCCATCAGGTAGCTGTTAGCAAAGTCTATCTCTGCACTTTCTACCTCAGTAAAAAACGGAGTTTTATCAGCAAAGATCCTCACATTGGCTGTTTGCCCTACGACATTTACAAATTTCGGTTGATTAAGCTCAAAGGACAGTGGCGCCTACCACACAACACTGCAGAGAGTTGACAATTACGGCGCGATCCCTTGCTGTGTGCATGAAGTACCGCCTTCCGACCCTGCGAACAACTCCATTTGTGGGTCGAGTGTGTGTGTGCGTGTATGTACGATGGCATATTAATCACCACATCGCCCTCATGCCCAACTGCGCCTTTGAAACCGGTCTCATGAAGGTTGAGCCAGAGGCCATAACTTACGCCGACTGCTACACAGCGTCATTCAAGACAGACGGCAGTAAACAAGGGGTGGTGAAATGAACCAATTCGTTACCTTTCTCCTATTAAACTCGACTGCCGGCTGCTACCATGCAAGTAGGATTCATTCGTTCTTCTCGTCCATGCACTGTTAACTATTCTAATTTCAGAATATTTGAATATCCGTAAAAAAGCTTACCCCCAACTCTACTATTTATGCTTGTTGGTACTTGGAAAAAGCTATCGTCTCGACAACTATTCGTTTAGCCACGCCTTCAACATCTCTTCATTTACACTTTAAATATTTTTCCATCCCTAGTTGTGTGTGAATTGATAGGGTTGATATGGTGAATCATAAATTTCGCATACCATGTAAAGTGTATATTCTGTGTTGTTAATTCTGCCAAACCTTCAACGGTCACTCTGTTAGTGAGCAGCAAGTCAATGTCACTTCACATTTACAAAAACACGTGAATTTTGTCAGCACGTGGCGATCAGTAGATTGAAATGGCGCACATGGACAGGATAAGCATCAGCCGTCTCTTCGATCCTCGCAACTTGGGTCACTTTCGTACCGATGACCTTGAAACTATTCTCATTCTAAACGGGTTCTACCCCTCGCGTGAGGACATTGAACAAGCAAGAGAAAAGTACGGTGAGCTACGCTGCGGTGTTGGGCTAAATTATAAGGAGTACCAAATCTTATTATTTATATTTTCTGGTCCCCGTTTGAAATTTATAGGAAAAAAGACCTGTCTCCTTTAAAACAATTAACTCGTTGTCAATTTTCTAATCTTCCAGACAGTCATAAGGACATTAGAATCGGAAGTAACGTTAATCGTACCATGGGGTGACATACATCACACGCGAGGGAATTTCCAGCTCTCTTGGGGTAAAGATGAGCTTACGATTATTTTGGCTTTAGGCAGCCTTTTTTATTCTGTAGCCAAATAATCCTACTGATGAACTGTTTTCTTTTCAAACACGCTGATCAAGCCAGTTAATTTCTGCTATTTATACTCAAAGGCCATGTGAGAAGAGCTTTGAATAGATAACCTCCTACTCCACTGCAAATTGCCCTGATTATTCTATCAGTTTTCAAACCTTTCCTTTGATGGATGAATTAGCAAACATCTATTCATGTCATAGTTTCTTTTGCAACCATGTGACGATTTTGAGAAGCCAACAATGCCTGGATCGGTCTCAGGTATTAAGCGAGTTCGGAATGTTTCGAAGGTAAAATTTCAAAATTTAGTGCTGCCGGAAGCGCTTATACAGCCCGTTAGATATGGCAACAAACTTACAAAGGAAGAATTTGACCCTATTATTTTTTAAGACCTAATCAGAGCGTTCATGCCGAATTACCAACATCTTCGTCGGTATGTGTTAAAATGACCTATACTCCTCGAAAGCTCTGTGACGGAGTTGAAAACGAACTATTTGGTGGGCATTGATAATTAGATATGTGCCTTATAAATTAAAGGATTTTTTTGGAGCTGTCACATCAAACTTCGGCTAGGCTATCGATAAAACGGTATTTTTATTTTTTTCCGGTAGAGATTTTTAAATCACGCTTCTGTACTACTTTTTACCCACCAGTCATAAATTAACTGCAGAGCGCTCGTGAAATTGGTTCAAGGAGCTCTTTATCTGCTATTCTTAAGATAATTGTATAAATTCTGTAACGTAATGCCTTTGTAAAAAGTAAAACGGATACCCAGCTACATACGTCTGTGTATATGCATACATAACGGCACATCCTGCCATTGTTATGATAAAAAATCATGCAAGTTTACCTTTTGTCTCGTTAAATTTAAATTGACTTTTTCACTTAAGTGACGTTCACTTGATGATTTTTTCTCAAGACTGAAAATTGCCCCATTTTGAATACCATTTCTGCGTTATCAGCAACTGCGTTGTAACCCACTGTGATCACTGCGGAGAACGTGTAGCGTGCTTCCAAAAATTAGTCGCTTTTTGCTCAAAATGGTTTAAGTCCTTTTGACCTATGTTAATAAAATGCACAAGTAGCACAGCAACTTACTACTACTTTCCGGTCAGTTGTCCTGGTTATGAACTAATGCGGACCACAGGAATTCCAACGCGAAGGTGTTTGCAAGAATTTTACCCAAACACTTCTCATTAGCAAACAAGCTTAGTTTAAAGCATAAGTTGAATTGGTGCGAGATTAATTAAGGTAAAGGACGACTTAAGAACTATGTTGACGCCATTTAAATATCTCACAGTATGATAAAAGTGAATTTCATAACAAATACGTGGATGCTTGTCTGCCAAAAAGGGTAGTGGATCGTTGAGAAGTCCATAAAGCCTCGATTAAAACTACCCTGACATTACCATAGATAAGTTTGATTCTTTTAAGTCATGAAGGGGTTCAGTTCCTCCATTCCAGACCCACGAAGAAGAGCAGTTAGGGAAAAAGATGCCTGAAAATTGCAGCCCATACGAGTCAGTATCAAGATTTAAAATCAGTCAATTTGGTCTCTTGCTAATTTTCTAAAAACTTGAGGATTTTTATTTCGTGAAATCATCTCCAAGGCAAATTTGCTTTAGCTCAACTCACAACGCGAAGGTAAAATGGGAACAGAAGATAGCTGTTCTGTTAAATGAAACATTTTTGTAGCTCATATATCTTCTGGAACAAGTTTTCAGAAATTTGAATTTAATCGCAATCCCATTAAAAGTCGGCAAATCATTTCTTCCGTGGTTAAATTGTCCGAAGCAGCAGTGCTCAAATTTCAAAATAGATAAGTACATCCCATCCGTACAAAAGTAAATTTAGAAGTTCTTCTAGGTTAGCATAGTTTATGCAACCATTCTTCTTTTGAATTGAAATGTCATACCCCTACTACCTGCGAATCATTCTGGTTCTTTATTTTGTGAACTTCAATGCACATGTGCAATCAAACAAGGTTATATTAATTACAGTTTGTTAATCGACCTAGACATTTGCTAGCGCATCCATAGCTCCGCCTGGACACCAAAAGAAGTTTAATTTTATTTGCCTTTAAAGGTGACGTTGTATCGAAGAAACAGGTAGAAGATGAGCTTTGCAAGCAGAGAAAAAAACCACCGATCCAAATGAAGATCCTCTTCGACGAAGTCAGGGATATATTGAATGTGCAACGCGGCTGCTTCAGTAGAGAGGATTTGATCGCTTTGTTTGCAGAACAGAAGCGACCTCTCAAAGAGCAGGACGTAGACACACTGTTAAATGGCATTTGCGATAAAGGTGTTGTCAAACTGCGAAGTAGGTGAACTTTAAACCTCTAATAAGCTTTGTTTTTCCTTTCTACAGGTTTTCTTGATAGACTGGCAAGGCCAGTGAACACAAACGAATGAACGAAAAAGTGCAGGCATAACAATTTATTGAACCCGTATAACTCATTTGAAAATACTTCCTTATTAAATGACAAAATCAGTCAAGAAAGTGATTGAAGGGTAAAATACATTCGGATTCAGAGGAGTTGCCTCAATACGTTAGGATGGGAATTTATGGCATACTATAAAATGATCTAATACAAACTATCAATGTGTTTTTTTGCTTAGTATTTTGGCCGTACCGTCCATCAAGCATTTTAGATTCACTCGACTTAAACTTCCCCTCCTTTCAACTTTTATGCTCAAAAACAATTTAATCATTGCATATTAGTCTTTGTGTCACAAAACAGTCATTTCTATAATCAATTTCCAAGCTAAGCCATTTAAAGGCTGACACTTGAGGAGTCATTACATTCATTCGATTTTCAGAGAAGAATTTCACCGCAGCAAAAACATTTTCAATTTTTGTTAAGTAGAATTTTCGCCTCTACTCGACGCCTGTCAAATTGGTCTCATTGACTCACTTATAAAATCTTGAAGAACAAAGGGAGATACTCACGTCTTAGCCAAGGAACTATAAAATAGTTGAGCAACTGAGCGGTTAAATCTATAGAGAGGATACCGGGTCCCACCAACATTTGCACACAGATCTAGCAGAATAGATATCCTCCATGAGACCCAAATGTGTTCGAAAAGTAGCAGACCTGACCATTTATTGAGGAAGGGAGAAACACTAAGGAGGGATAACAAGAATGGGTCGGCCGCCACATCAAATCTGCATGCTTACTGCCAAGTATCGACTCGGACCTTCCCTGGGGAACAGGAGACGGGATGTTATTGCTGGCCTGTTCCCAGGGGACTGAGTGAAACAGTTACAAATGTTATTTGTCGTAGCAGTTAAAAATTGGTCTGCAACCACTAAAAAGGCGGCTTTGGTGCAGAAAAAAGCCCGGGAGCGGGTCATTTATAATTTCCTCCAAACAACGCCACTTTCTATGAGTTGGCCTTACCCCAACTGATATCAGTTTCAGTGCGTACAAAACCATTCCACGTGACACTACGCAAACTTATTAAGGTATTTTCGACAGTTTCATTAATTCAAAACCAATCGCCACAATTCAGTCAAGAGACACAACAGCTATCAAGAGGGCACAGAGCCTAGGAAATTGTATTAAAGACCAGCTTTCGTTTGATCAATTTTCTGAGCATTCCAAAAAAGATTATCAGCGATCAGGTATCATCCATGCTCCTTCCCAACCACTAATATATCTTAACATTAGGTCACTGAAAACACAATGTAAAAAAACCCTGTATTATAATAAAATTTGATAACACACAAGAGGAATAAAATAGCAATTGGTGAATTTACTTCGTCGAATGATACTTGACACAGAAAGTAGGTCGTTTTCGCCCTGCAATCGGGCCCCCAATTCCACCGCTACCATCTCTATCATCATCTTCATTGTCAGTACCAACGCCGTCTTCGAGTTTGTCCGATGGTTGCTTTTCCACTTCACTCAAGGAGGGCAATTCCATGTCGGCCTCAATGTCAATCTCCGCTTCGGCTTCCAGACTAGCCAGTGCAGAGGCTTGGTTGATTCGGAAGTCCCTCGACAGTCCCATACAGATATTGTCAATGAGGGGGACCTGCAAAGAAACACACTTTTTGAGAAAAGAGATGTTCCAGTTTTGTAACATCTGCGTAACTCCTAATGCATAGCTGTTTCAATGATGCACAACATTACCAAAACAAAGAACTGATACGTTGATGGGTTTTAGTCCAAACAACAAAACAAGTGTTTACTAAAAATTTACTACTTCTTAGACTTTGAAAAGTCTAAACCCTATCCTTTCGAAGCTAGCAAACAAGTTTTATTGGCATCGGTCAGAATTGAAGTTCTTAGGTTATAAACAATGAAGTAGGGGAAATTCCATAGACCGTGTTCGCCTATTAAAATTAAACCATTTCATTGCTAAAAAAGAACGCTGGTTGCTGAAACAAAGCCAAGTACACCAAAGCACAGTAATATTTAAATGTGTATGTGTTTAAAGGTAGAACCAGAAAATATAATTGCAATACCTCAACAATTGAAAATAAAAAGCGAATTATTTGTGGGAAAGCGAACAAGGGTCTCACCTCCAAAAAAATTAAAAGAATATCCTGGAAAACGCGCTATAATTGTACAAAATCGAACGTTTGACTCGATGGCGCTATTACAGATACCTCAGCCCCCAACGCCGAACATTCCAACAGATTTTATACCAAGAAAGTGGTATGACTAGAGACAATACCAAAAAATCGCCGACGATATAATCACATTGGATTTGCCGTCGAAAACACAATTGATTTGATAAAAACATTACAAAATGTATGGGTTTAATTTAGTCTTTTAACATAATAAATAAAATGGCTTAAATTTACGGGAAATCGTTCCAACGCCTAAAACCTATCAGCTTAGGGTATTTAAAAGAAAAATAATTAGTACAGTAGTCATTCAATTATACGTGAAAAGCAAAGAACGCACAACAAGGAGTCCTACAGAGTAAAGGGTGATTTAATGTGGCAGACGAAGAAACGACAGGAAAAAAGGCAATTAGAATAATTATAAAGATGACTTTTGTAGAACGAGAATGCACAATTAGATGTGGACAGACCTTAGACCTCTTTGAAAGAGTGGACAAGAGACTCTCGTACTGTTCGACGGCGAAAATTAACTGAGGAATCAGTTTGGCGTCCTTCAGATTACGAGACATCTACTCCAAAGAAAAGCGGAACTGTCAAGTGGTTGAAGGTGAGAAGTGGCTAAAGCATTACAGGAAAGAATTCACACTCACCATCAGTCGGGAGGGAACCTGATTTTTCGGCTTTGTGAATGTGTAGTCTATTTTTGCCTTTTTTGTGGGTTTAGTATCACCCTTCTCTGCTTCCCGGACCTTCAGGAAATAGGAAAACAAACTGCTTATAATGCATCCATTTTAATAAGAAAAAATCAACAAATTTTATCGTTTTAAAACTAAAGACAAGTAGAAACCGATGCTTGATTCAAAAGATTCAGATATATTTAATGTCAATTGGCCCCACTCATGTCAAAACAAAGCACAATTATCGAAATGAATAAGTTTACGTAGATGCGTTAAATGATACTATCTAAATGAAGTATTAATGATATTTGCCTCTATAAAAGGAAGGACTCGATAAAGATTGGTTAGTAGACAAATCAAAAAGCTACAAGAAGTTTTAATAAACCATAATGGATTTAGTAATTAAATATTTCCAGCCAATATGATTCAAGAAGCCTGAAATGCATATTGTGAAAGTGGGATCTCGCCTGAACAAAGTAGACGAATGTATATGAATGTGGTGAAATCTGCCGACCGTAGAGACGAACCACTCGTTCGAAGGTGGCCGGGAAGGTGCCGACATTTCGCTGAACAATAGTAATGTACTGAAACGATAAATAAAAATCACTGCTAGGGATCTCTGAATAAGGCAGTGTGTTTATTGAATATGATACAAAATTGGAGTTGACAGAAACGCAACTAGAAGATCTGACTAATAATTAATCGAATTGACCTTGAATATGAGCTAAATGAGTGGCACTGACATGCTTAGTGAGCCTGACCAGGAGGTCGAACAGACCCGTTGTCAATCGAATGACATCGTATGCATAGGAAGGTTGCATGGACGTCTGCAGTAACTCATCGACAGCCTCACCAAGAGTGAGGAGCATATCACACACAGATATCTCGCGAGCCTTTCTGGCGTCAGGCAGATTTGTGAAAACAAAGGAACTGCCTCCTCCTCCTGCAGCGCCCCTTGATGTTGCAAAGGATCCATTTTCTTAAAAACGAGTGAAATTCACATAAGCGACTTATAAAACATAAGTAGACGCGCCGTTTTGATGTGCGGAATTTCTGTTAGATCGGCTAACGTAACCAAGTTGACATTTGCACACTTTTGGACGATTCAAAATTGATGTAGTATTGTAGTGTATTAGTTCTTTAATTTGGCGTACACGAGCAAAAGTTAACAAACATATGAAAGGGCCTTATTTTCCCACACATATCACTACCTAAAAGCTACTTGAAATATTGTTTTAACAAGTAGTTTATTGAAGGCAGTTGGTAACATTGCTGATTATGTGCTTTTCAATAACCGGTTGATTTATACTTAAATTTTTTTCTATTTTAAGGGCACACAGGCATGCATTCATTAATCACTTTCCCTAGACTGAATACTCATCTTTTCTGAGATAAAATGTTAGGCAATAAATAAGGGTTCAGGCAACTTCTCCCCCAGTAGTATGTTTGATAGTTTCAATCATTGTCTAATCGAGGTAATTAGATAAAGAATTAATTGAAGAGGAATATATGAAAGAATGGGATCACATAAGGAAGCTGTATACAATCGCTTTGATTACCACTTTAACCAAATCATATTCCGAGAAAAGAATTTTTAGCACATTATTTTATGCAAAAAACGAGAGTACAGTAACATATATTCAGTTCTCCAATATTGATTGTAGACAGGTAAAATTGACAAAATACAGGAAGATACCACACCTCAGGATAAAAAACTTATGATCGCACCAAAAACGCTGCCAATTTACATGAAACTGCTCCATCGAGCTAATTTAAGCATGACATGCAAATATGCCTACCAAGGATATCTCGTTGCACCCCCTGCTCGACGTCCTCGACAAGCCAGAGGACATCCTCCAAGGCTTGATTGAGGGCTGACATCAACACCTGCAGAACCGACTTGGCCGCACTTTTGCCATCTACCACGGGGAAGGTCACCTTCTTCGATGGTTCACGTGGAGGCGAGTAAGAAGTCGATTGCGAGGAAAGAGAAGTCTTGTCAACGGAGTCCAAATGCTAAAGTGGAAATATAAACTTATTCATGATTGAAGGAAATATGTAAAACTGATAACTAATGTAAACTACCAAACCGACAATCACGACGACAAAGTAGGTGTTTTCGTGAAAATTAAGAGGCGGAAGATAAATCGGGCAGATTACATGCAAGTAGTAGCAGTAGTAGCAGTAGTAGTAGTAGTAGTAGTAGTAGTAGTAGTAGCAGTAGTAGCAGTAGTAGTAGTAGTAGTAGTAGTAGTAGTAGTGGTGGTTACCCAATTCGATCATTTATCACTAGGTGGCAAAATGTGGCGCCGTTAATAACAGCACAAAGCCAACACAGTTATTAAAGTGTGCGCCTGAATGTTCAGTTATCTGAGGCGAGAAGCTGTCACAACTCGACTGTAATGCCTACGTTGACTTGCTCTGGCTTTCAAAATTCAGAATAATTAATGCTGTTTAAGACAAACCAAGTGTTAACTACTCCAAGGAGTAAGCAAATATTACTTCTTTCAAGAATAATAATAAATAGTGCGTAAGTAGAATAGAAAGGAAAGTAGATTTCTTCATTCAGGTTATTTAACGAACAACTGAATAGGCATGTACTAATGGAGAAATCATCGACAATCAAGAAAATTTTTCAGCCGAAAAATAAAGTTCATTGGGTGGTCACAGTGGCTGGGACAATGCGAGGGAATAGTTGACTGAGGCAATAAATGGAATAGTTGAGATGCAAGTAGTCCCTATGGTAACGTTGAAATATTTTAATTTTATTGTGTCTGAACAGAGTCATTTGATTGGGAACAGAAGGGATAGTGTTAAAAACCTACATCGCTTTCAATACAGCCGAGGATAGCACGGACGTCAGCGGCGAGGAGGATGACGAGGTCGTCCCAGGTGAGGTCGGCGATGGAGGCGGTGCTGGTGGAGGAACGTCGGTGCGCTACATTGGTCGAGTCGCGCGACGCAGAGGCCGTCGCAGAACCCAGCAGACGTGCAAGTTGGAGTACAAGACGTACCGTCTGAGCTGCCACGTGGCAGTCCACTGTAACTTCAAAAGCCTCCTCTTTGATGCCCAAAAGACGCAGCAGCCAAATCAGCACCCGATCCAGCCCAGAGAAATCCGGAATTGGTGATGAGGAAATGCTGAAAACAGGAGGTACTTACATAGGATAATCAGTAAAGTCGTACAATATAGAGTGAAGATTCGAGGTTGCAAGGTTCCGATAACAAATCTCTTCATAAACGACAGCAAAAAAGTACAGGTAGAGGCTGGTAGATGCAAAAATTTAGGAACTTATGGCGGGGGGGAATAACGAAAGTCTACATTAATGTTATTAAATTGAAGCCAACTATTTATGAAAGATGCAATTTTTTAGCATAGTAAAGTCAATTCAGTATTCCAAAAATATTTCGTTGAATTGGGTAAACTTTGTTGCAAATCGGGTCAGTATTCATCAATAATAACTCTAAATATTACGTCAAGAGTTCAAAACAATTGCGTATCAATTTAGAAGGCGTTTTGAAACCCATCAAAAAGCAACATAGCGCTTATCAGTTTGGTGGCAGATCCAACGTAGCAAAGTAAAAATTTGAATAAACTACTAAAATGGTAAATAATACTTAATCAAACAACGCAGACTACAAAGGACATAACGCCCGAACACTCCAATAATGAGCCAACCACCCGAATCTAAGAATCGAAAAATGATGGAACATTAAAAAGCAGATCTACTCTGCTTGCCTGTTATTAGCGGATGTAGCAGAAAGAAGAGCAGTTCTAGCTTCACAAAGGCGGATCAGCATTGGCAGAAGGATTGTGAGGTCAGTGAGAAGGGCACTTCGACGGTTGGTAGCAGTCGCCAATTTTTTAATCGAGTGTTGAGTAGAGGCACCTATGGACGGTGACGTAGCGGACAGAATACGCGTCACCCACCCCTGAAACGTAGACCGGTTATCCAACTTCCCGTACCTTACTAGCGCATTCCCCACCCTTCTTTAAATACAGCAACACTATCACTAACCTTGAATAGCTTCACGACAGCAGTTAGAGAGCGTGACTGATTCGACACAGACTGCTGCCAGGAGTGTTCAGCCTCGATATTAATGCTCTCATCTCTGCTCCCATTCTCCTCCCCCTCCACCTTCTCACCGTCAACATCGTCCTCGGAGAGCGGTTTGGGTGCAACTGCCACCGAATAAAGTGAACAAACGAGTCGCAGGAGACGTCGACTCCCAAGGCCCTCTGTAACAACCCAGAGGCAAAGCGCAGTAGTTTGCAACGCCGCTGTTGCCGTGGATTCTGTAGATACCGGGTTCTGTGTTCCACCCTCTACAGCTTCCAGATGAGCCGCATAGAATCGGATCGTGAGACTAGTTTAACCAAGGAAGGGATGAAATTGTGGTTTTATCACAGGTAATTTATCAACCGTATCATCCTATCTTTAGGAAATAGTCCATAGGTATGTCGACCTTTCGTAGATGTTGGATTCCGTGACGAAGAAGGAGGACTTATAACTCCAACCTGTATACTTGAGCTGAATGTGGGGAGTGAATATGGGGAAAGTTTTTTACTATCATTTATTCTGTTTATCCCGTTTCAAAGATGCACCCTATAGTAGGCCAAACTGCTACAAGAGTATAATATTGTACTATTCGAAAAGTTAAAATTCTTATTCAAGTAAATGGGCTTTTTTGCACTTTTTAGATAAAAGCTAAAGAGCTATGAGAATGATGGCAACATTTGAACTAGTTCTAAACAATATGCCAGCTCAATTCAAATTGATTTTTGAGGTTGTTATATGATTACAAAGTATTTAAATGTGAATGGATTTTACTGTAAACAGAGTCTCAGTTTATGTGTTTATGATGCGAGACTAAGAAATGAGAACAACGATACCATACCGCAGAATCCTTGCCACAATACGAACGAAGGCGGCGCGATAGACGACAGAGAGGAGGGGCTGTTGGGTGAACCTGCTGCCACCACCCCCTGCATTTGTAGAGGTGAGCTCAGAGAGGCGTGCGCAGGTCGTCTGCAGGAGGTGCAGTGCAAAAGTTGGCGCTACGGAAGCGGAGAGGAGGGCCCGTGGCAGTGCTTCCACTATCGATCGCAGGCCGGACAGCAGAAGAGCGCCACGCAGACGCCCCTCGGAGGTGCCCACGAAGCAGACGTTGGTGCTGACCTCGGAGGTGGAGGCAATGGAGGCTGCAGCCGTCGGGGTCTCTTTACTCTCCTCATCTGGGAGGTGGAAGAGGAGCTTTCGCGCAGACTCACGATGAGCAAAAAGGCGCTTCAAGTGAAACCAGGTGGCACTGCAGTGGAGAAGATTGGTCTGAGTTTGGTTATTACAATATCGCAGATTTGATTAGGACTAAAAAAACATTTCAAGTGGAAATTGACGCTGTTCGTTAGGCCGATAGTTGATAATGTTTACTTAAGGGAAAACTAAAGAAAAAATCGCAATTCTGAGTGTAAATTTAATTGTACTTCTATTAAAGAGAATGTTGGTGACATCCATAGGTTCAGATGTAGTCTGGAATTCGGAAGTAATGCTGTAATGAGATGAATGGTTCGCAGCCAGAGTTAAAGGGGTTTACTAGTTTTAACCAAAATATGGGTAATGGTTTGTTGTTTTTTTTCTGTCACAAAACATAAACTTACTTGGGGTCGGTGACAGCGCTGAGGAGGTTTTTTGCTTCAAATTCCAAACATGCATCATAGAGACCCAGAAGCATCGTCAAACGCGCGCGGTTCGCATGTCCTACTGCAGTGGAGTCCAGTTCCAAGTCAGGTGTCTACCAAGGAAATAAATGACTCAAACACATTGCAATCATTTAAAACTCGGCCCTCTCCCTTTCTTCAATGGGAGGCTCTTTGAGTTCCATGACAATGTTTACCAATCTCTAGATTCTGCAATTAATCCACGAAAGCTGCTGTTACTGATGGTTAAAAATTGCCATCAGCATACATTAGCAATAGTATTTCTCCTCATGTTTATTCATCGATGCGTCTACATATTCTTCAAAGTAAACTGACGAAATAATTTGTACTGAAATTGATTCATAAATCAGTTTAAGGATTCTTTTCGTGAATAAAGGAAATATTCAATCAGTAATAGAACAATTGAACTGAAGATACCGAATAGACTAAAAAAACTGAGCGAGTACCCTGGACGTGACTACAAAATGCATTCTGCTCCATTTTACCTTCGCTTCCAAAAAATGTCATTCAGCACCTACCAATGTAAAGCCGTTTGAGTTTTGCAAAATAATTTACTCAAACTTTTATTTTGCGACATTCCGCCAAGATCCCAAATACATTAGGAAGTAAAAGCATTGGTAGTGGTACATAAATAAAACAGATAATCTCCCCACGGATCAATTTAATCCGTCTTTAGTACGCATCGTATAGCAATGAAAAAGCTTATAAAGGGAAACAACTTGTATTGGACTCAGGCTGGAAATTGAATTATAATAAACGATAAAACAATAATAAACAAATAAGATATAACTTTAAAGCGGCAATCAATGGAAGGTTAGGTAGAAACTAGATAAGTTGTTTTTGTTGTTTTTTGAGGCAAAATTCTAAATAGACTTGTAGCCCGTCAAGTCTTTATGTCCTGAAAACATCTTTCTGTGGCAATTGTCGCCATTTTCGTTTCGGAATTAAAAAAGTCTGCAGTACACTCAATCATAAATCTAAAACTCACCAAGCCAAACTCGTCCAGCGCCGTCTCGCGCAGCCCAGAGGCAAGATTGATGAGGAGACTGGCGGCACGACTGAAGACGCGCATGGAGAGGCCGCCAGGTCCACAGGCAGGCATTGATTGGGTGGAGGATTGGGTGAATTGGCTGGAAGTGGACGACTCCGACATACTGCTCGGCCTTGGCTCGGCGAAGGTGCGCGCAAAACGTGACCAATGATGACGGAAAAGAGGCAAGCTGAGAAGGATCTGTAGACACCACACGAGGACCTCCTACAACGCGGCAAGAAGGCTGGGAGAGCGAGACGTGGCTGAACTATCTGAAGCCTACCGATTATTGCATTAATTGCACCCAAATTCAGACCATCATATGATACGATTTGGACCATAGCATCATCTAGGCTTCTGTGTTATCATAATGCAAGCATTGTTAGATTATCAAGGATGATTAAGAAGCCAAATAATAAGAAACGAAGACAATTAACGTCTCTGTAGAGGAGGGTACGTGCTAATCGTTCACTTCGGTTACACAATATTTAGCCTTAATTTTATTCCTGATGAAAGAAGATGCACCGCAATCTAGCCCGGATTATACTTTTAAAATTATGAATCTAGACTTCGGGATATTTTGAAGCTGGAAATGCACTGAGGGGTATTTAAAGTAAATTACTCCAAATGTTGAGGTTTGATGGGCGACAATCTTTAGAAATAATAGATGAAGCAAATGAAGCCATTAGACCTCGCCTAATCATTTACGCCGACAAAACAAAATAGTCAAATCGGATCTACCGATGATTAGCGGCAAAAATGTCTACTTTGCATTGCAGTCGAAAATCAATCTAAATTTTGAAGATTGGGAACAGCATAAGCAGCCGTTATAAAAATATCTTTATGAAGACTCAAAAGAAACAACACATCAATTTTCACACAAATGCAAAAGAATCAAGGATTGGAGACATGAAATAAGATACTGGATGATCTTGGAAGCACAATTCGGAGCCAGACTCAGGGTCAGTAGAGATGAGTTGGCTCAATTTTAGCGGGAGACCATTGAATGCTTGCGGAAGGCCGAAGGCACCATCCTTAAAGACAGGCTTCCACTTCACCAAGGCTGGATCGATGGAGGCCGAGAGGAGGCGGGCAAAGAGCGTCAAAACGGGGCCGACGAGACCGCGGTTAGATACTGCTACCTCACATAGACCCTGGCAGATTAACAAAAAAGTATTCTGATACTGATTTAAATCAAGTAAATATTTCAACATCATCCGATTAGAAAGTTATAAGGATTAAGGGAACATTGAAAGCACTTCTAATTCTTCCATTCTCTTTAAAACTTTGCACCTTGGAAGAAATAGTAATCACAACTAATTAGCAAATTTGTAATAGAATTTTTAAACACTATAACTGTCATATGGGTGGTATGAATATAAGCAAAAAAGAATCACCGAACAAACTCCAAAATTTTTTCTGCTGGGGTAAATAAATATTAGGTTTCAGAAAATCGTAACACCAACCCACCCAGTAAATGTCCGACTTCACTAGAGCAGCGCTATCGTTAAGAAGGGGCCCACAGGTACCACCGAAGAAGGTGGAGTTGATCAGGCGGTGCAGAAGGCCCACAATTTCAGTGCATAGGGCTTCATTCCGCATTGGATCCGTTGGCAACATTGTCACTGCCTGTGCCACCTGTAAAGGGAAATGAATGCACCTAGGTCGCAACAGAGAGGTGTTTTAGAAAACTATTAGAGAACAGAGGAATGGAAAATATGCAAACCTGTGTATTGTTGATCTGAGAGAACAAAGGGAAACCTCCGGAGATGGGCATCTGGGAGAAGGAAGCGAGGGAGGAAAACCAGGGTTGACTGGTCGCTGAAGGGTGAGAGCTAATGGACCAAGACTGCTGCGAGGCGGTGCGGAAATTGGAGCTTCTTACCTGAAAGACAACGAGACTTGAGATTGGTCAATGTGGAATCACCCAATCGGGCTTCGCACATATGCACTAATCGAATTGGAAGAAGTCAAATAGAAGATAGAGATTCCGCTAATCATGATTTAATAGTCAAGAGTTACTTGTTGGATCTAACAGCGCATAAGCGCTACGTTTATAACTAATTTAATGGTCATTTTGTACCACTGAGATCGTCTAACGAGATAAACTGACCTTGACTTCAGAAATTAGAGGCACCAACTCGGTCACAAATCTACGTATTTTAGAGCGCGTCTTACTTAAGTTGGACAAAAGAAAAGAAACAGTAATTTTTAAAATTCTAAGTTAGTATGTGGTGAAGAAATTCATAACTATTTTCTGACTAGTGGATTACCATCGAAAGTCAAGCTTCATTTGAAACAAAAACCGTACCTTAAATGGACCCAGTTGAGAGTTGCTGACTGGCACAGATTGGATAAGCATTGTGAGTTGATTTTAATTTTACAAGATTTTCAATCATCCTATAAACCACTTACTACGTACTCCGGTCACAAGACCTAGGTGGAGAAGCTTTGCGTGTTTTAGTCTTTTTGGTTCCAAGTACGGAATTCGGTATGAGTAACCTCAATAAATCAGTAATTTTCTAAAATTTGTCAAATCTCTCCCGGATGCGTCTCTACATATCCGTTTCGTTTGTCCTTCAACCCCAAAGTCATCTCCTCTAAATCAGAAATAAAGAGGCTAGATAATGAAATACGGCCGGTGCTACTCACTCGGAGGTTCTTGAGCAAAATGACAAATCCCGCGACAGCAATTCGGCGCACGGGAGCTGAGTAGTTAATAGCCATCATTCGCAGAGTCAGAATGACACGGGATTGGAGGGAAACAAGGGATTCCATAGATTTGCCGCCGATGGAACCACCACCAGCGTTACTGGCTTTGATAGAAGAGACGGAGACCACAAAAAGAGGGAGGAGGGCATGGAGAAGGGCTGTAGAGACCTCCAGTGGAAAGGTGCCAAGGCACTCCATAAGGGGAATGAGCGATTCCGCTGAAGCCTCAGCGAATTCCACTGGACAGAGAGCAGCCAACTCACCCAACAATTCTGTAAGGGAAGGCGGAGGATGAGTTAACTAGTCGGCTGAAATGAGGCAGACCTACCTGTCATTTGAAAGCACGTTAATTTGCCCGGCTCCGACCAGATATAATGCAGTGCGGTGCCCACGATGATCTCACGAAATCCTGTTAGAGCCTTAAATAGGATGGCAAATTTTCGTGCAATCAATGCATTATAGAAGTAGATAGGACGTATAAAATGCTTCAAAACCATTATTTTTACGTTTCAAAGCCTTGGAAACCAAATTAATTACTTAGAATAATGCCTTCGCACCGATTTTTACTTTCAATTAGAAATAACTAATTTCCCAAATATCTTTATGTGGTGTCTCGACTGATATTTTTAGGAGATTTCGTTGTTATGTGTTGAATAAAATGAGATGCAACGTGTTACGATAGAATGTCGGCAATAAAAGTGCATTACTGCGAATTTTGAGGAACTGAAAGTTCTCGAACTCCATCTTTGTGGAGTGTCAAGAAAGACAAAAATTGGCAAGTGGTGTTTTAAGAGAAAGGCAGCCACTTTTACTACATCAGAATGCGCGGCCAAACTTACCAAAAAAATACTGAGAAATAGCTCTCTCTCCTTCTTATTTTTATCCCACTAGACTTGGAGATTGTTTTTCCCCAAATAGGTGCATTGTTTTTTGAAATTCATCTTGCTTTCCTGCTTTCCTAATTCTGCACACCATCAGACTTCATATTTATCAGGAAGTTAGGTACGTTATACATCCTCTATTTCATCTATTCGAAGTAAGGGTAATACAAATCCAGAATTCTTCAGATTGTGACAACGTGCACAAACCGTTAGAGATCACTTATCATTACCTGAAAAATTTCCGTGAGTACATTGATAGCCAAACGAGAGATTCGCAACTTTGGAGACAAAGTAGAGGAAGAAGAGGAAAGGTTGTGATCCTGCTGTTGTTGGAGCTGGATTAATTTCCGCACCGTCAGAGCGCGTTGGGACTTGGCGGCCTGACAACGGCCCTGGCCCAGGGGCCCACCCTCCCCAACACCCGCGCAACCAAATCGGCCAAGAGCCCCGCCAACTGACTTGAGCAACGCGAAGCAGTAGCGGATCAAACCGTTCACCACACCGCTCCATACGGTGTTCGAACTAGGGGAATGATGTGGTGAAATTTCTTTTATAACGTAACTTGACTCCCTCCAAGATTTTGATGCTGAACTGGGAACAACGTTTAATTCGTTTCACTCACCCAAACACCATCCATATATCCTTTTAAGTGCACTAAGAACTAAGAACTATTTTATTCGACGTAACTAGCTGAGGTTCGGCTCAGGCAATGAAACAATTCGAAATCTCCTCGACTGTGACTAATAAATATCACCTGAAATACTTTGGGCCAAATTTTCATCGGTTTGTTTTTCAAGGACTGAATACACTAGATTCTCGCTTTAAAATCCCCAATAAAAAAAACCTGAAAGTGAGTAATCCACTATGAATTTCCTTAGTTAAATCATATGCTACAAAATTATTAAAATAACTCATCTGACAGCCACGATCGAAACAATGTATACGGCTGAACTAAATGGTTTTATTACAAGAAGGCCAAGAATGTCCAGCTTTTGGACTGAGGTTGATTTATGTTCTACCAATGTTGTGACAGCATTAGGTGCTGCACTAGGTGGCTAGTCATAGCCGTCTGAAGAGTATGCCCCAAGTATAGTGAAATCTTAGTTACCAGTTGGTGAGGATTTGATCAGCGGTAGCTTCGGGCTCCTGAAGCGGAACGCACACTTTTCGCAGAAAAGCTGATCCCGAAATTAGGTCATTGCTGGTGTAGGTGTACGCAGTGGCGGCGCAAAGATGCTTCATTATCTGGCAGGAGAAGGGAACGGAAGACAACCAAGTTAAAACATATTGAATGTAATTATTAACGTGCGCTGCGAATGCGTACTTGCTGTGCGTGTTTCGATTCGCCAGAAAGAATAAGCGCTGCGAGAACAAAGGAAAATGTTCCGAGAACACTCGAAACGGGAATAGTCTAAAGGAGAGGTCAAATTAGGTTCATGATTCCACAAGGACCTTCAGAGTTTTGGCTATTTGTTCTGTCATGAATTCGTGCGTTTTGGAGGTCGACATGAGACAAGAAAGCATCTTTCCAAGGAGATCTACAGCCGCTTTGGCTCTAAAGGGGAGAAAATGAAATATGATTGTTAGTATGAGCGCAATGATTTAAGGGAAAGCAAAACAGGAACGCGAAAATTAACTTACGAATTCTGCCGCATGTCTTCAAAGAGTCTGTTTAGCTTCTCTATGGTCATACCAGTGAGGTTCTAAAGAAGGATGCAAGGAGGCTAGAATGCGTATCTGCAAAAAGGGCCTTTTTAGATTAGGTTAAGGACATGCCTCTAATTGAAGTTCTTTTCGCAAAAACAAAATGGCAAACCAACCCACTAAATAACGCATAACGCTAGCCGCTTTCGTGAATAAAATCAGTTCTGCAACAACCAATACGGAAAAGAAGTTAGGATGCATTTGTTCTCCTAAATCGAACGCAAAAAGTTAACAGCACACAAGCATTGAAAAACGAACCAGATCTTTAAACCTTAAGAGAGTACAGAGCGAGATAGCCTGATCTTCTGGTGATAAGGCGCCACTTTTAATGCACTCAAATGTCTTCTTAATGAAGGAAACCATGGAGGCCAACTGAAAGTCCCTGCTCACTAGAGCCGACAACAAGGCGCTCAGATTCGAGGAATTCCACCTGATTTTTGTTGATGTAAAGGTTTTTTAGCACCCGATCAAGGGAAATGTCAATTACAATGTAGAACATACAGACTCGCACAGAGCCTATCACTGATTGAAGTGCTGACGCCTTTTGATTCTTCCAACTTGCTCATTAGAGAGACGAGAACCTCAAAGATACTAGAAGAATGAACAACAGAATGAGAACTGAATTTCTGTACATTTGCTTTTCTATGCACTCCTCATGAATATACTGAATTATGTGATGTGCCAATCTTTCACGTTTCCAAGTCTCCATCAGGTCTATCTATAGAGCAAGGTAAATGTTGGGCAATTAGAATTACGCATTGCAAAAGAAAGGCAATGACGGACTCGCGATACTCCATAGTGATGGCGTTTTTCCAGAGGCAGCAAACGATATCCTCACATACTTCCAGCATTTCCTCACTCTTGGTAAGTTCTAAATAATAAATAGCTGAAGTGTGCAAATACCGCAAAAAATCCTCTCAAGACCTGCCAGTTGTTCTAGGTTGAATTCCGTGGTCAACATCCGTTGAAGAAAGTTCTGAAGCTAAAATACATGTAGTTTCTAGTTATTTGAATCTGCAACAAAATGAAAAAGGCTCTAGTATTCATCCACAAAACTATTACAAGATAGGGCAGCACGATCATGAGCTTCCCACTTAGAAACAGAAAAGTTGAAAATTCCTAAAACTGGAAAATTCCTAATGCCAAACCAAAGAATTCTGATCTTATGCCACAATATTCCGGCATTTCCATACCAACTAGATTTAACGAGTAGTATCTAAACCCACTCTAAATTACTACCAACTATTTCCACTAAGATAAATTCAATAAAGCCAACTAGAACACATTAGCACAAATCAATATCCACAAGTTGAAAGTGCTTTTGAGTACCGAAACTTGTGTTTGATTTCCCAACTGCAAAAAGAAATCCTTGAAGTCGCTCTTCACAGCGTTCCATTCCGACGCCATTTCACACGACAATATAAGCCGCGCTTTCGAAGCAGTGAGGAGATAGTGATCAGGTAAAACATAAATTTCACATAATAATTTAACTGAGCAACCCAACAAGTTGACCAATTAAACTTTGCCGACGCAAATAGTAAAAGACTTTTATTCATGAAATTCGACTTTCTGTGAGATTGTGTTAGTTCCAAATCTGACACTAATCGCAGTATGGCTCCAACAAGGTAGAATAAATGTAAAAGTTGCTAAAGAACCGTGCAGTTGCCGCTCTAAGCCATAACATCTTAAAAGTAGTAGCACAATTTTTCCTCTGTTTGTTATTGAAGTGAATTCGATTAAGTGAAGCGTCACTGGCAGGATTATGTTTAGCGATTTCATGGCCTTTAAATATGTAGACACTCCGATTTTGCAGGAAGAAGGCCGGTAAATGTTTGCAGACGTGCAGCACTCCAAGCAATTCCTGAGGCCGTAAGAGGTCATATCAGTATAGAAGATGCGTGAAGAAGAGCTGAGGTTACTGACATGGCCTGGAGACCATGAGTATAATAAGCGGGGATTTAAGTGTGGAGCGAGACTCCTCGGTCTCCGCTTCCCGATCCCTAGCGTTCCTAGGCAAGCCCGGTTGATTTACTTTGGACATCTTTATTAAAGACGACAAGATGTACAGGGAAAATACAATATTCAAGAAGGAGGGGAGCCGCAGTCGCTAGGTAAGGGAGAGGGCGATCCAGTTACCAGGTTCGAATTTTCTGCTTCCCTCCTCCCTGAAAGGCACATTAAAACAACATAAGTATTACATTAAGTGCCGCGTAATCAAGCACGGTTTTGTACAACCCATTAGAGCACTACCGGTTATCAAAGCTTAGGGTATGATTGGATCTGTTTACCTCCTTGGGGATTAGTGACGCTAGATCAGCCACGAGGCCGTCGCAAACTTTTCGCTTTTCGTTAAAAGGCATTTCGTATTTTAGAACACGCAATTTGCGGTACAGCCTTTTGGTCATTGCATTAGTCTCCTAATCCTTTTTATACCTTAAGAATATACGCTTCTTTATCGTATTCTGTTTTGTTATGACTTCAGGGAAGGCTCGGAGTGCTGCAAAATATTTTAACGAGTAGTTTCTTAGCGAAATTCTTGATCCCATTTTCATCACTGTCAATTTTAGGCAGATGTATCAACTATGCCCCGAGAACGCCTTTAGAAACGCAGGTGCCTTTTCCATCCCAGTCTAATCAAGGAATGTTTACTTAGCATGGAGTAGCAGCTTAAATTGAGATCACGACAAAACACACTTTGGATATGAGATACGATAGATTCTGTGAAAATTGTAATACGATAGTGGTTTATCCCTCGGTTCTGGTGAGGCGCCACTAGCCCCCTTGTACCTCGCTGGGTGGGCTGGTCTTTTGGGCCATGCCAATAGCCCAGACACCTTCTCCGTGCTAAATATATATATTCTGCACGAGTATTGTGTCTTCTTTCGTCTTCAGGGAGTCTCGGGACGCTACAAAATCCCTACTTGAGCAAGTAGAATTTGCTTAGCGTCCTGGTTGTTTTTATAAGAAAAATATAAAGATATTTCACTAAAAAAGTGGCACATGATTAAGGAAGTACTCATTACGGCTAAACCACAAAAGTAAATTTCCGAAGGTGGTCTCCTGCTCTGCCTTCAGTTGTTAACTTTGAACCCCCCAGCCACTTTTACTCGACTTTCCCAAATGAAGCGCAAACTCTGGGCTTGGTGAAATTCGTAACTATCCCCTACTTTGCACATCCCATTCACTCCTAAAAAGGGCAGAACCCAGATCGTCACAAAACTCGTCAATCTTAAATACAACCTGCCCAACCAACGTCCTTCCTGGCTATGTTACGATGCCATGATAACCCACATCACCAGTTACTCTGCTTATTTTTGACTTTCCAACATTCTTAAAGCTAGGTTTACGCTGGGAAGCACGTGGACACATTACCTACTCCCATGGCGTCTGGTCATCTAAAAGGTGTGCCACTAAAGAGGACCGAGTATGACTAGACTAGCCTTGCTTGATATCCAGCTCCCAATCGGGTACATGAAGGTATCCGAAATCGCAGAAACTAAAAGCGAGTATCATCCAAGCACGGAAACTCGTAGTCCAGTTTGGTGAAAGATCAGAACGGAGGATGTACACGTTGATTACAAATTACCATGAAAATGAGCACGAGGACACACATGTTGTGGTGTCGGAGGCGGGGCTGCAAGAAAACAGATAGACACACAGGCAGCAAATAAGTGAAAGCGGGGTATGTATCAGGGGACTAAAAGGAGGGGCAGGAGGAGGCGGTTTCCTGAGATTCGTGCTCCATTGCCCCCTCCCCTGGCGCCACCACCGTCTCCCACAATGGAAGTGGTGGCGTTGGCGGCGTTGGATGACGCGGAAGCAGCAGCGGAAGAAACAGTGGCAAAGGCAGAGTGCGGTTTCGAAGGGTAGGAGGGACTGCGGTGCAGTTTCGGCAAGCGGTCCAGCTGCTTCACCAGCGCAGTGAACTCCGGTCGGTCCTGTGGGTGATAGGACCAACACTGACGCATTACCTCCTACAAGGGATGTCATGGAATAACCAATAGAGGAGAGTGAATAAGGGCGTTTAATTTAATACGCATGACAGTCAGATCGGAGATATTATGGGGACGTAAGCGTGTGAGTCAAGCGGCAGCTCGAGAGCACATGCACGCTGGCCGTGAACGACGGCAAGGCAACCAATCGCGACGCTCGAGACGAGTAACTGGAGAGGAGGTAGTCACACATAGGTAGCAACTGACAAGCTGACAAGCAGAGCATCAATTTTGATGGCTTGGTCTTCTCGAACAGGATCAGGCCTACAACCCTTGGAGGAAATCACAAAACTAAGATACTTGATAGCTAATAAAGTTCAATCTTGCTGATATCCACTTAAAAGTGCCTGCACCAAGAGTTAAAAGAACTATTAACGATTGATGATGACTGATAAGCCTGGATCAAAGGTCCATCTAAAAGTTAGGATTGTTACAAAGAGAGATAAAAGGGATCTACTCAAGAAATCGAGTTGCAGGAGTACAGATTTCAAGTCCAAATCAAGAAATTCACTGTCAGAACAGTAATGATTAAGTACCATGATTCGACTTAACAAGCGAAGACAAGATCCAGATGATGTCGCACCCATTAAAAGGATGTTATGCGAATAATGCTACAAAGTTACGCTCGCTCCTTGGACTAGTCAGCCATTATAACACATTCGAGGTCCATTAAACCAGCCTCTGACCAAAGACGTAAAGTAGACGTCGAATGCTGAATGTCAGCAAGCGTTTGAAAAGGTGAAAGAGGTTCTCGCCTGTGACCTATTTCTCAACCTTGCCACTTTCGGTGTCATTTGGCGTGCCCAGCTATGGTACTGGTGCCATCACATTCCATACCCAACTGGATGGATCACAGTAGACCATTGTAGATACCGCTATGGCTCTACCTTGTACCCACGCAAAGACATTCCACGAAACAACAGTCCACTCTTGGCTGTTTATAAGCTTTTGCTGCACATTTTCGTATTGAAAAGCCATTGGTGAGTAATTACGTGCATTGGACAGAGGTGAAACTAAACTGAAGGATTATTGCTGACTGTTCATAGTTCATTCCGGCTGCAAAGAGCCCGGCCAAATGTCCACCGTACTAATAACCAACATTAGACGGTCCGTGAAAGCAGCTGCATTTCGATTTCACTATCATACTTAAAACAAATTTTCCTGGTGGTCGTAGATGTTTTAACCAAGTGGCCAATGAACTTTAAAAAATAACCCCAGAGCCTGCAACATCCAAGTTAAAGCCCCTGCTTGGTCAATTGCGGATACCACAGACGATTTTCACGCAAAACAGACACACAATTTACCACAGCTTATTTCAAGAATTTTCGCAAACGGATGACTGTTGAATAGCCTGGGTCATCACTGTACCATCCACAGTCAAATGGCTGAATTAAGAGATTTGTCAATACTTGCAAGATACCCTTAATGACGACACTTGAAGAGAGACAGACCCAAGAGACTACTGACAAGCTATTGGACGGCACCAGATTCGAATGTTTCAGAAGAAAAAACCCTTTTGAAGAGATCTCCTATCCCAGAAAGCTGGCCGCGATCGCCGCAACATCCAAGCATTGCGCGGTATCACACACAAAATAGATGGCTGGATGAGAACCCTTAAACCTGGAAATGCAGTACTGATCAGAGAGTACGTCAGGGAACGCTGGGAGACCAGATGCAATTGTGCGCCAGTGTGGAATGATTCTGTACGACAAGGAACTTTGAAGTGTTTACCCAATTTCAGCACACCGGTAAAATGGGAAAGGGTAAGCAATTCTGTAACAAGCAATGAAAAGCTAGGATCCAGCCGATGGATGTGCTATTTGATAGTTTAAATCCACCACAGGGAATGTGATACCACAACAATGCGCTACGCAATGAATGCCGGATGTCCAAAGAGGACGGAAGGAATACAATCCAATACGGCCTCTTTGGGTCAACTCGAAGTTCCAAGCAGAAGATACCCTTTCAAGAGGTATTAGGACGAAGTGGCTGCGCGAGCACACACGTGCAATGGGCGTGACCAACGCTCAAGGCAGACATTCGAGACGCTCCAGACCAGCGGACGGCCAAACAGTCGCATGGGCGAGCAGCAATCCTTAAATGAATCAGACCCAGCTGGTCATATGTGGCCACACACAACCCAACATGAGTCTGTTTTTCCAAGGGTGTTTTCCTCGACAAGTAAGGTACCATTTTTTGGAGCTCGATCTGTTCTATCAGAATCGGGTTTCTTGGAGTACAAAACAGTGTACTAGACTTACTGAACACGCTCATTGCGCACTTTAACTTAAGTTCAAGGAGAAGGAAATATTCCATCAACAAGTTTTCCTATAAACCTCCTTACTTTCTACTGACTTATAACCAATTCTCTAAGTATTTCAGTATCACTTAAGTTTTATGCCGATTCAAATATTCCTGAGAAAACCTTATTCCATTATCATTCTCATAACATTGTAACTTAAGTAGACCCACATTAGTGGGCACATTACAAAAATAGCCGCTTATTTTGCCTCAAATACTTAACGTTACTTACGGCGGGGATTCAAATATACTGCATTCCTTTAATCAAACTAAAATGCTACTGAAATCTGCAATAGCAGATAAACACCTGCACCAAATATTGTTGCTATTGTAATTCATGCACAGTCACCATACCATTTGATACACGTTTATTCGTCTTAAATAGTAAATTTAAAGGAAAGAAAGAACTCTAGCTCACTTTAAAGTCCCGGGGACACTGCAACTTGAAAGAAGGCTTTATTCCAGTGCCTACGAGGTAGACCAACGTCTCCGTCGGTAGTCCACGGAAGGGATACTCACAGGTGAGCAGTTCGTACCACACCGTTCTGCCGAGAGAGAAAAACAGTAGAAATGCTTCAATAGCTAAAAATACTTAGATCAAAGGGTTAGGGAAATGAGCTCAAAATCATATGGTGGTCAACACATCATGGGATCCTCACTGCTCCGAGGAAGCCCATATTCAATGAAATAACAATTCAAAATTTTAAGACTTGATTTCCAAAACAGTTTTTGCAAGATTGTAGAATAATGATTAATTACGGTTGTTTCTGGGGAAAGAAATGTACGTGACCAGTGTTTTAGAAAAAAAAAAACTCAGATATGTCAAAAGGCAAAGGATTACCGAGTTTCCCTCCTTGTACAGAAAAGTTAGGAATAGGTGCAAAAACGCTAATTACTCACACCTCTGTGCAATTTATATTTGATTAACTATCCTCACTACTAGTGTTGCACCAATAAACGAAAAAAAAATGTTCTACCATTCTGTATTCCTCATTAGCTCGATCGTCACTAGCCCATAAAATGAACTAGCATGAATTGTCGAGACTATTTAAACCAGAAACTCAGCAAAATAAATACAACAGTAAGTGGAAAGAGGACTTATAGACGAATGGAGACACGAGCAACTCACCCGAAAGCAAAGATATCGCTCTCTGGTGTAAAGGGCAATTCGTTGGCCGGATTACCGATGCTCAGAGCACGCATGATCTCAGGAGCCACGTAACACAGCCAGTTAGGCGGGATGTGCACGTAGTTTCCGCATCTGGAAGGAAGAGAAAGAATGATGAGGAGAGTAATTCCCGGGCTTCTGGCGGCAACAGCAGCAGCACCACGACGCACTTTGCGAGTTTACAGAAGTTAACAAAATTAAAGAGGGCAAAATCAGCGATCACGGCCTTGTAGTTGGTCTCAATGAAGATGTTGCGCGTCTTGAGGTCTCGGTGCACTATCTGCCGCGCGTGGAGGTAGCCCATGCCTTTGGCAATTTGGCTGGCGATGGAGATGATGCGGTTAGCGCTGAGGCTGTGCTTTCGCATGTGCAGTAAGTAGTGAAGGCTTTCGCCCTACACAAAAGCACAATACCCTACAGTTATCACACTACAAGGCGGCATCGCAAAGAATTTTAGTCTTTGAGCAGTTTGTAGAAAGGCCACTTATCATTTTCAGCAGCAGTGACTTTCCACACTTGATTGGCAGCAATTAACAAAATACTAAAAATGAAAAACCTAGAGGTGATATTGCTCATTCTCGTTCTGCCGTTGGTCGAATTCATAGAATTTTCGCAAAACGTCAATCTCTAGGCTAAGTTTAATTAATTTCAATTAATCAAAATTATTAGGGGGTTGAAAATTTGAAAACAAGCATTTTAATTTCGACATGAAAATAAATCACCTAATCAGAACCCGGCAATTAGAAGATAAAATGCACCGACAAGCATGATATAACATCTTTTGTGGAATGTCAATTTGACTATGACGCCCAAAGAGCTTATTTTACATTCAAAGGGAGTGCGCCTCATTAGTAAAACTGCAGTAAAAATGTACCTAAACCCAACAATTGACTCAATACTAACTACTTTCAGCTGTAGTTTACAAATAATGATGAGAAATTCGGTCAAAAGTTGATTTAGTGGAATAGACGTCACAATTTATCTAGACGTGCACGAAAATTAATAAATGCAACGCAGGCTTCGCTACCACATTCGATTAACTGAAAGTCAACTATAACTTGCTGAATCGCAGCATAATATTAAAATCCGAAATTTGAATGTTATTCGTTTATTTAATGTTAGATTCGTTTATATATCAACTACGCAGAATAACTCAAACCGAACAAGCTGCGCACAAGGTAAACACCTTTGTAAATTTAGTTGTATTCAAGTTGGGAAGTTGACATCACTCATTAGATCATGTTTCATGAGGGTTACTTTTAAAGGCAAAATATCATTCTTTAGGAATCTAGTTCTTACACAAATTATTTGGCATCAAAAACAAAGGAATATGCATTAGAAGCGATCCGTGTAAAATAAATCCTCTATAAGAACTAAAGATTATATAATTTATACATTAAGGGTACTAGCTTGGATTTAACCGAATGCTAACATGAAAACAATATAAATTACTAGGAAACAGTGAGTAGAAGGCAAGTAAAAGCGGTCCTATGTTGTTGAACTGCGTTAGTAGTAGTCAGCGCGTACCTTGCTGAGCTGAGTGACGATAGCAAGGTCAGGGGGTTTGGTGCAGGCACCCATGAACAGAACAAGGTTTTCATGGCGCAGTTTGGGCAGTGTGGCCACCTCGCGTTTAAAGAAGTTGAGGAAGTTGACGCCGTTGTCATCGTTGTCGTCCAGAATATCAATCTTCTTCACTGCCACCTCGCCATGCCACTGGCCCCGGTACACCGTCCCTATTACCCCACGACCGATCATCTCACCTAACTGCAGACTCTGGAATGGTATGTTCCACTCCTTCAGGGTCACTGACATCTGAAAGGTGACAAACACTGCCAATATCCTGCTTGCTTTTCTTCTGGGTCAAAAGAGCCGATTTTGCTGGCAAGTACGAGCTACTGTATACGACGAAAGTTTCCAATCGCTCGAGGTAACGCCCAAAAACTCCGACTTTATAGAAATCCACAAAAAATGCTTCAATGGTTTCGCTTCAAAACAAAAGCAACAAATATTTGCCATGCCCGAAAAAGGATACATTATAAGGAATCGACGTTTCGGTCATCTATGCTGCGGATTTAAACATGGGGAACGAAGAATGACGGTTTCTGAGAAAAATCTTCCAAAGTATCAACGTATTCAGCTTATGAAAAGACGACCATGACTTTTTTATTTGGAGCGCAGCAACCAAACCCATTTGCGTCCATGTCATTTTACGGTTACACATATCCATTTTGATTTCATTAGGGATGAAGAAAGCCACGTACGCAGCTAATTTTCCTTCCCCATGAAAATAAATGTCACGCCAGTTATGAAGATGAAAAATCTTGTTTACGTTGAGTTCCAGGATCAGTTTCCCAAAAGGCCAAGGAATCGAGACAAATGGGGCGGACTTTGATGGGATTTGTAGGTATTCCGTGAATACCTTGTAATTGCTTGCATTTCAAGATCTCTAAGGTTGAGAAATGGTGGGTGTTCCACCATTTATTGGCTGCAAGAATATCAACGCCTCTGCTAGGCTTTTACGATAATTTTATTGTTTATTTGATGAGCACTTCGGGGCAGTTTCCAGAAGATTTGTTACTATGAGATCTATTCTGAGATTTCAAATATCGACAGAGTCAGTGTTAACGTGAATTTGTTTGGGGTAAGATTTTTTTTGCATTGTAGCTAAAGCACCTAGAGCACCGCTCTTGAAGTTGTTACAACACCACTGGTCGTGCATTGTTTTTACGTTGGTCATCGCTAATTTGATCGTCAGCTTTTTGCCTGAAAACAACTACCAGCAGTAATCTTATGCTAAAAGCACTCTTATGCGGTAAGCAACTAGTATGACCCAAAGACCATCAAAAGGCATGCCAGTTTAAAAAGGCAATGACAAACATACGCTGTTGTTCCGAGTGAAGGGGGGGTTATCATCTTGACTTTCAATGGATTCCAATCGAGAAAGTCGGTCCTGAGAGCGTAAAAAGCTAGTAATTAGATCAGTTCTATCACCAAACAATATTCTCAATCGTCGTCCCAAAAAAGCCAACCTAGTTAAAATACTGGACGCTATCCAGTAGCAGCACCTTTAGGAATCCAAAAGTAAATAACTCCTACTAATTTATATCCGTGTTACTGTTAAAGCTCGAAGCTAAGAGGACTTGCCTCAACCACAGTCCGAGAGCTTTCACAGGTGGAGAGTGACCTGGAAACCAAAAGCAGATCATGAACACCAAAAAGGAATGTTCGAGCAAAATTGTACCAAAATAATGAAAAATTCCTTACTGTGAAGGCGCTTGGAGTTCTGTTAAGCTAGTTTGATTGCCTGAAAATGAAAAGAAGATTATATAACTTGCCACTACTGAAATACTCCTTCCTTACTCATCTCATTAAACCGTAAACCTCAAAACTAGCAAATTACTCGACTATTAGCAATAATATTGCCTCTGTAGGCCACCGCAGCCCATGATTATTACAACATTTAAGGCTTTCAATGTGGCCCTTTAACCTGTCATGGTTTTACACCAAAGTTTGGTGAAACCGAAGCAGAGGTCACAATATTACCATCTGAATATTAGTACTGGTGATCAAATCAACCAAGGACTTTAGGTTTTACAGGCCTGTACGGAAACGCTACCGCGGTGGTACTTCATGAATGAGTGACAAGTCTGCCCTATTAAAAATAGCTGGTACACATGCTAAGGGTCTTTCTAACACCCTTTATGGTGGGCGACGGTGATAGTGTGTGTACGCAACAGGGTACTGATGTAGACTCTAATAAGCAAAACTCGTGCAAAAGGCTTCAAGAACCGGATGGTGATGACAGAGCGCCTAGCCGCAGGACGCTTTTATGGTTCAAGCGTTTCAAGAAGGGTCGCAGGTTTGGCAGAGACGCTCTCGGCTGTGGTAGTTGTCAGCCCACAGCACAGTTATCATTCTTAAAAACATCCACTGCATGAAACGGCTGACTGCGCCTCACTAACGCGCAGCCTATCGAGTAGTTTCCATCCACTGCAATTGCTCCTTTTACAAACTCCAAAGTTTCTGTTTCATTCGAACCCCTCTTGTAAATGGGAATCCTGTTCAACACCCCGGAATCTACAATTGAAGACTTTTGGGAATCAATCAGTAAGTGAGGTGACCCACCTTGAAAGTCTTCTAGTAACGGATCATTGGGAGGTGCAGCATGAGCGTGGTCAATAGAGGAGAGGTGAGAGAGGTTGAAGGGGTTCCCGTTATTTTGCAGGTACTTTCCACCTACGAGGTCCACCTGGAACGGCGACCCAGGTGTGGAACAGCTGTTGCAGGAGGATGCGCTGTTCGAACAATCGGAACTCTGTCAAGATTTCGAAAGATTAACTTTGTGACACAGAATAACAATAGGTTTCCATCTTTTTGGCTTATGCAACACCGGATTATTACACAGATGATATAAAGAACGGTGCTGTATTGCAGTTAAGAATGATTTAACAGCGAAAGGCAGCATTTGAGAAGACATTATGTCCTTTAAGATATAAAATCTAAAATTAAATGAAATTTTACGTCCTATTATCAAATGACTTCCTTTCTAACAGAATTTGCTAGTTAAAGTAGTCTTGATAAATTTGGAATTGAAATGAAGCTACACATCCAGATATGCAGAGGACCCTGGACTCAAGGAATTATCCGCGATTAATACTCAATGAAACGGTCCTTTAAAAAGAGGCACACACAAAAATGCAACATCTTAAGATTTCGAAAATGTACGTTCATGCCGGAAACTTTTAACCTCTGAGTTTTCTATGAAGAGTATTAGGTGTCAGAATACATATTAATGTGCGGTTTAGAAAGCAGGCCGGAGATACCAAGTGTGTGGACAACTCCTGGAAAACAACAAGGATTGCACAAAGTCGGAGGTAATCGCAGTGAACAAGTTATGTAGAGACACCCACTAGGACGCGGAAAAATTTGGGATAAAGGGTTGTTCTGGTGTCTATGCTATCACACTGTTGCGCCAACAAGTGCCAAATCAAGGGAAATAATCATAAACTTTGCCTCGAAGTTACGTATGATAAGGGATGAAGACTGTACCAAAGGTATTCCATTCATCAGTTATGAAATGAATAGGTTCAAAATCGACTCAAAGCAATGTAATAACACATAATTTTAAATTATGTAGGGGTTAGAGCACCATGCTGATCATACCTCAACTGCCAACGAAGGACAGCCATCAACCTAAAATGCATGGAGAGACATACTTAAAATGTCTCATATTCAAAAGCCCTTTGGGCGCCCAACCCTAAACCCCAGTTAATGGGATGCCCAAGAGTATATTAAAAGCTACGACCCTTTGATTGAAGAAATTTAAAGCATTTATCTTGAACAGAATTCCTGTTGCTTATTCAACCGATATATTACACGGTCACAATGACTTCGTACTAATTTAACCCATTCGCCCTGAAAATTGGAAGTTGTATTAATTCGTGCAGATTGGCTGTGGTGGATGGAGCAGGGAGGCGGAGCTGGGAAAAAAGAGGAATGGAATATTCCTCAAATGTGCACAAATATCAAGAATGAGGAATTTGCCACCGACTAGACAAATGAAATGAACGTCAGTAATTTGTCGCTACAGCTACCTAGTAGACAACAATAAGCGATTAATGATCTTAAATTAGTCTACTCGGTTTAGAGTCGCTTTTCCACTGGAAAATAATGTAAATGTTCTTTTGAAACTGCTCGATCACCCCCCAAAACCTAAACGAAAGAACCGATGAACAAATCAAACTGAGAATACCAAATTGCGGCCGAAAGTGATGGGACAAACCGTACCAAGACCAATTTATGGAACAACAGCGTGGAAACTGTACATAAGACAAGTAGAAGGAATGTCAAAATTCCATTTCCATAAAAGCTTTGAAACAAAGAATTTTTCTGACAGCTCTTTGATGACATTCGCTATTTGGCTTGTAAAACCTATACGTTCCGCAACGATAGATTTCATTAACCTGAGATTGTAGAACACGAAATTGAACTTGACTATACGTGCTCTACATTAAAGTCATAACTATGGTCGTGTACTAAGATAGATCACAAAAAGCTTCCTCATAGGATTAATGAAAAAGAAAAGACGATAATATGGCCAATTCATCCGGGTGCAGCAAGAAAGTAGCTCATAGACTGACTGATAACTTCAACATCGGGTAGAAATATTATATGCAGGAAAAAGGATTATTAAATTTTGAGACCAGGTGCTTTTGGGTGTCCAAAATCTAGAAGGAGGCCAGGCAATTTACTAAAACAAGGCATTATCTTAATTTAAAGACAAAAATGATTTGGATTACGACAGCTATAAGCTAAATGACGCGATTTCAGCGACCACTTGACTGATTCGACATCAAATTTAGGCAATTCAGTACGTTTGGAGGAAGCGGCCATGGAAATTATCTGCCCATTTGTTGCTGTGCTACAGCAAGCAACCATGCACATCGCAACAAACTTCATCCTTCACTTTGACCTGATTGAGAAGCCTCTTCACGCACGCAACAATCCAACGTCTGTGAATTTTAATTCGCCCTCCCCAGTCCACAAAGTGTCAAATGACACACCATCACACATTCAATGAATTGGGTTTATTTCAAATAAAGCATTGCATTTGTTCTTTTACATAATCCTCCATAAAGAATTTGAACTATGAACTATGGGTTCTGAGATCCTAAGCTACAAATAGCAAGTCGAATTACTTCGCACCCAAAGAACTTACCATCAGATTGTTTAATCCAGAGGCGTTGGCTGCCATCCGAACCGTTCCCAAGGAATTACCTGAAATATTAGGAAAGATTTCGAACCTTTCAAAAGGTCAAGCAGAGGAGGTTGAAGTGAACGGTGAACAATTACAGAAAGCCATGGTAAATCGGACGAAAAGTACATTCCGTCAGTAGCTGCTAAGGCCGAGACATAATGAGTGCGCGCAGCGACCATAAATAGCCCCTCTGGAATTACGAATTTGCGCGCGACAGGCTAAGGCCCGATTAGGTAGTGCGAGTATGGGCACAAGGCTACACTCGCGAGACAGTCATTTAAAGAGCATGTTTGATAAAGCAACCAAACTTCCGTAGGCAACGGATAGGCCATTAGAGTTGCATGAAAAACAGGCAGACGGTTTCAGAAATATAGATCTGTTTTACCAGGAGTAAACCGGAAAAAATACTCAAAAAAACTTCCTTTTAGCCATGAAATATTTTAATTTAATCAGTATTACCCGTAAGTAGTATCGTATTTGAAGTTATGCGTTTTGACAAAGATATCCAAGTGGACTCGTAGTACCGCAGAAGTAAAGGCCAAGTTGCAAATTTAGGAAATAACTGGAAATATTATGTCTTATCTCTCCCACAACCTCATAGCAGAAGCTGGCCATTTTCGAATAAAAACTGTGCAACACCGTTTAATTTTCATAGGGCACGAAGAATATGGATTTTCCGATGTTTCTAACGTATACAGGAAAACCACAGTTTTGCCACAGAGAACGCACTAATGAACGCGGAGATGAAGCATTGACTATTAAAAAGGCTCGCTAGCGCGCAGAAACGGATAGATTATGCTCGAGGTTGCGCATGCACGACCAGCAATTTATTTGTGCTAGCGAATCATTTGGTAAAACTGCAACAAACCTTAGTAATACGTAGCATATAGCCAAAGAAGTGAAGTAATTACCGAGAGATTGTGGAGCAGGTTGCATGCGCATAAATTCTACGCCTCAAATATCCGATATGAAGGAAGATTTTTAAAGTACAGATGGGGAAAGTAATGTTAGTAGAGGGGCAGTGATCACCTTAAGGACGATTTTGCTACGAAAAGGTTGTGCCTAAATAAAGCATTTGTCAAATAACGTAAAAGCTTATGGAACAGACATTAAAAAAACGAATCAAATTTGATGAATAAGCATTCTAGCAGAGATAATAATTGGAGAGAGTTTTTAAGCAGTTGTTTTTGATTTAGCTTAGACTCAAATGCAGAATAGGCATTTGGATGAACGATTAAATGCTAATGTCAGACGAATTTCGGGCCAATAAATCGCCCCTACGTTTAAATCAAACACTCGAAAAAAAACGCCACCAAAACAAAAAAATGAGAGGGAAGCATCGGATAGATCAAGATCCTGAACCCAAGATCAGCCATGCGCTAATCGGATATGCACCCGTCCATTTATGTATAAGGTGGAAATCAGATTGCCAAGCAGACGAGTAAGCGGTTTCCTAATGAATTCCTCCCCAAAGTTGGATCACATGAGCTGCATCCAAATGAGTGTCCGGATGCAACATCAATGTTTCAAATTTTGCAAATTTCTGCATCAGATCTCCCGCGTCTGGCAACGGTTCACTTTCCCACTTTTGCAATTTGCAGTTCGGCCTCTTATTAGGACGAATTCGTCGGCGGAATCACCGAAGTGGATATAGTGCCACAGATTGAAGCAAACGACTTCCCTTGACACATCATAAATTTTTGCACTTTGAAAAGTGATGGGCAGCACGCCTTGACACCAGATTTACGTAGTAATGAGGGAATTTAAGCCAGAATCGGCATCGGTAGGTTAAACAAATAATATTGCAAGAATTCTGTCACTACATTGAGAGAACCAAAACGCAACCACTCGTTCCATTTTAAACGATATTCCAGTGTAATAACGGCTGAAAGTCCCGGCCTATTATTTACGAACTTCAATTTTACTGATTTTCCAGGGATGCTTTCAGCCTGTTCACCCAAGTAACCCACTCATGCATCGCCTGATCGCACCTGGGCAGCGTGACCACTCCGGTTGGCGCGACTACCTGTCGGCCGCTCCGGTAGTTCTTGCTAGGTGGCGACGCAAAATGCGCGCATCGTGCTGCTTGGGTTGGCAATCCTGCGTTAACATTCAGCCAATAGCAGGCCGTAGGGCCAACAGTCATTTCTGGAGGAGAATAGGTCAGTGAGACAGACAAGCAAGCAGACGAACAGGCGAATACCCCATGCCTCGAAGGTATGGTTATGGCCAGGGCAATGGAAGGACAAACAGGTAGACATAAAAACCAGTGTGGTTCATGTACTAACCCAGGCTTGCTAGGCAATCAAAAAACACAAGCTATTGTTGTCGGCAGTTAATGCGTGCTACGATAAATAAGTGAAAGATGGGTATCTGCAAAATTTGTCCTGACTTTGATAAATCAAAACAGTGTACTTGGGTAGAATGAAGGCTCCTTAGTGCATCAAAAAGGAAACGAACTTCACATGAACAAGTAGGAAGGCTAATGTACTCCCCATTTTAACTTCAAAGTTGCTGCCATAGGACGTTCGACGCGAAACTTACAGAAATTCGGAAACGCTTTCGGCTATTCGTCTCAAATTTCCAAGAGCAAATAACTGAAAGCCAGTAGAGATATCGCTTGTCACAATGAACATCAAGAATTAACATAGGTAATACATCAGCTTCAGTGCCACTTTCATTTCAATCACCAAACTAAATTGTACAGCAGTGGTGGTTCGACAAACCTTACTGGAAAATACAAAATTTTATGGTGAAAGAACGAATTAGTGAAAGCATGTCAAGAACATCGAAGAAAGTGGTCGAGCAGTAGTCGGTACCTCATTTCGAGCCAAACTATGTATTGATAAGACTTCATGATTAATGAAAATCGTCGCCATGTTTCCACATGCTAGTTTTCATCAGTTTTTTTTTCCATTCCTGCAGATAGTTCTAAGTTGGATTCCGCGTTTAAAAACATTGTTTTGAAATTCATCATGTAATTCAATTTATCAAAGGAACTTGGCAGCGTAAGAGATGTTAATCCGGTCAACCTTTCTTCAAATCGTACAAAATTAGAGGTAGCAATATAGCGCAGAGGAAGTCTGTTGTGTCTGGTGTCGATTACCTTCAGCTTCAAAGTTCCGAGAATGGAATCAAAATAGACATGCAAAGAAGTCTCAAGGCGACGTTTGCTAATGCAGTCCGAACCCCTGACAATAAAGTCACATTGTTGATGAAAGAGGAAGACTCGGCCATCACAAGAGTTTACGTTTCATTGTCCCTGTCTTAAGCACTGTTGCTGAGGCCGATTAGAGATGTAGGTCTGACGCCGTCTCGAGGACACTAGCCATGTCTCCGTGAGGGACACCCGGCTGTAACGACATGATGGTTCCCACTTCCGATAACTTAGAGGATTTTTGAAACGTCTTCTATGGTTACACTGAGGTGTATCCATACACATGTATCTATATACATGCTGATCCACTCTCGACATTTTTTCTGCCATTCCAAAGGAATGCCCCCTTTTTTAGGATAAACATTAAAAATTAATTGCCAAGTATTATTATTTGATTAGTCAGTCGAAAACCAACAGGGAATGGAAATACTGGTTCACTCACCAAGCATATTAAAAAAACGTAAAGCATCCCACCACCAGTACAATTTTAACACCTCAGATGTACAATCAGTAGTATTTTCAAAGGCTGGTAAATGTTTGGCAAACTATTACCGTTAGCGAGTTTCTAATTTGCTTTAAAAAAGGGCTTTCTTATTTTTTTCACTTTTACGCATTTTGATTAGACACTTTCAAGTGTATGCTATTCTTTAAAGCTTTGTTTAATTTGCACTGTGAAAGAGGTTAAATGAAATAAAAGAATCTGTAAAAGAAATGCTGCCACCGAAACAGGCATTCGATTTAACACAAAAATGCGAAAGTTGAATGTGAACAAGAAAACTTTTTGACTTCATTTGCATAGTCACAAAATAAATAACGATGGGTAGTAAAAAGTAACCAACATGAGTGCACTTTCTGAGAATTTGGTGTCCATTGTATCGTAGTAGGAATCGTTAAATGTATCAAAAATAATGTTCCGTGATACAAGATTGGTCTCTCTCTTCTTCCAACTTAGAATTATTCCAATCGAGAAATTAAGTCCGTAAAAGATTATCCGAGGAGCGATCTGCAGGCAACATGTTTGAGCAGTCAATAGTAAGCTTAAACGATAAATCCCATTAGTAACTTCTAGCAAAATTATCGTACACGTAAGATGCAGTTTACTGTGCTTCATTCATAACTCACTTGTGTTATTAATGAAACAGACAATGGAAACATTACTGGTTATCACGTCTACAGGTGGGAAATTGTCTGCATGATCGCTTAACCCATGCAAACAACAAAATAGGATCAAATAAATACCTTTCCTTCGTGCTTAAGCCTTAAAACGGGCGAAAATAGGCCATAGAATCTGTATCTGCAAAAAATTGCCATTGAGTTTGGCTTTTACCATTCTATCATTGCCGACAGTTAAATTCTGCTTCTGCTACTTTAAGCTAACATCACTGTAGATGTCTATCGGAAAAGTTGCTACTTCCACTGAGGCTAGAAATGCGTCCCATTTAAGACGCAGATGGGCTGTGGATTGTTTCATTTTATGAAATCACCCAGTTTCCTGCAGAATAAGCGTCTCCCTAACAATGCCACTGCCAAGGACCCCTTCTTCACTCATCCAAGTAAATTACTCAATTAAGTGAGCGATGCTGCTAAGATTTGATGGGGATTACAGTTAGTTATTATAGAAAAATAGCTTCGCTCTTGACTGCATCAAATGAAACCAGTGGTAAATTCCTGAATTGTAAGCTTTTAGTTTTGCGCATTCGGATGAATGAAATTTTCATGATTTCGGTTTAACAATGAAAAGCCTAGAATTCAACGCACACTGAAGTGATATGAACAACAGCTGACCGAGCTGCAGCATAAGGTTCACATTTTCTGCACGCGGAAAATGTAGACGTCAATTCACCAGCTCTAATTCTAATTCAAATTTGTTGACTTTGGAGACGATTTGATAAGTATAAAATCTGAGTTAGACTGCATTTTTGGTACTATCTTCGAAAACTATTTGGTCTCATTATTTGCTTCTCGAAACCAAAAACCTTCTGTACAATATATCCCCGAGATGCACTTTACTTGCCCATTTCCGAAGTGAGTAGAAAAATTCGCTTGCGCTTATAAGAGAACAGAACATTATCAAACGCTTTACGATTTTGAAATTAAGAGGACATACCTTTGAAGATATGTAGATTAAGCTAATGCAAATAAAACCGGTAGGAAAGGAAATTTGCTTCCAAAAAAGTACTACCGAGGTCATGGATGCGTGCCAGAAAAATTTATCTAACTGAATATGCTCACCGCGTAACCGAAAACGCCATCCACTTCAGTCAGTATGTGCGCAGACGGGCGTGATGAGACAGAGCACTGTAGTGATTCGGCTACTAGGATGCAAATCATAGCGGCATAGTGGGCCTATCCCAACCTTAGAGCTACGTAATCCGACAGCAAAGCTGTCCGCTCCTACTGAATGAAATATGATGGACGATACTCTTAAAGAAAATTTACTGATGAAAGATTGTCTTTCCAGTGAAATTGACTACACGACAAAAACTAAATGATTCAAGAATCGTAAGGGTGAAATCGAATTAATGTACTCGGAAAATGAGTAGCGATGAGATTAGGACAACTAACAGCAGCGCTGCTTCTGGTTTCAAGGCAGGTGGGCGCACCCAACTTACACACCCAGGAATAGAGAGATGCAGCACCGGGAGCACAGTCGCCGCCTCCTTTGTGTGTGCGCGGGCACGTACGGGGCGTGGGAAAAGTGATGAGTGGTGCACATACCCGCGCCAGCGCCCAGGCAGCAGCGGCGGTAATGGTGGTAGTGGCACTAGTAATAGCCCCTCGAGGCATTGATATAAACAAGCCATTCTACCAATTAGTATACCTACCATATGTGTACTACCTGGTATTAGGCCGAGGTCACCGCGTTCTGCAGCGGTATTGGTACAACTATCCTGCGTGCCCGGTATCTATCCCATCAATCAAGCAGAGTATAAATACTTTGACACGGGGTTAGTAAACCAACTAGCCCTAAACCACTTATGAAATCAATGAAAGCAGGAAATAGCTGACGATTTGAGAATCACAATTTATAACAATAATGGCAAGAATCTTCAGCTTCCGAGCACTTAAAAAGTCATCGATGGCTAAAAAACTGAACAGCTTAAAAGTATTTTTCTGTTTAATTCATCAAAACATAAAAATGGCATTCCAATGCTAAAAATAGTAGAATACAGAATGGGTCATGGGTCCCAACAGTGCAATGATGCATTCATCGTAAAACCGCCTGGACCCAAAAGATGCTCACAAAACAATGTGGAAGATAAGCACGGAAATTTGAGTTGTAATGGTTCTCAAAAAGCGAAAGAATTTGGATGTCGACTGATGAAAAGAAAAAAACAGTTTTAACAGTTGTTCGAATTTCAGTCTGCAAGCGTATAAACAAGGCACAACTCACGATGAACATCCGTGGAGTCGCTGAGTCGTGCAGTGCCGGGACAGGGCATTTTTGAGGCAATAGCAACGCAGTTCTTGTGGGTCTTCATGCTGAAAGGTGAGTAGGCATCGTGGTGGGGCGATTATCAGTGAGAAAGATCTTATGCAAATAATGTGCACACTCACTTGCAGTAAACGCAATGGGGAAAGCGCAACGTCAGTCTGCCGTTGCACACAGCGCAGGGCGTACGACGAACAAAGTCTGTAAACTTCGCCTCACTTTCGAATCTTATGATGAGGAGGAGGAGTTATTAACTTTAACGACTTACCGATGCGCATTTCCTGGTAGAGGAAGGAAATTCGCAGACCTGTTCGCATTGAGGGGGACAGTTAGCCGACCTGTGGATGAGCACCAAGGGACGGAGCGTCAGTTCAAGCAACACTCCCTTCTCATTCCTAACTCCCGATATATGCCAGTATTTATGAATAAAAATATTAGGATTACTAGGTAGTAGTATTACGTTAAATAAAACTTGATTTAAGGCGTAGCATTGGAGACCATACCCTCCTTTCGATCTTCATTTAAATGGAGATATTAGTTTTAGTGATAACAAAATGAACTACAAACGTGAGCCTGTTCGCCTGATTCCTTCGTTTTCTGTAGGCTAAGGTTCCGGCATTTTGTAAATGACAATTCTACTTTGACAAGGAGGATATCCCAATATTCAAGTATCAGAAAGAAACATACTGTCAAAAATGATGTCTAATGGCCTGACCAATAAAACTCAAAAACGTTAGTTGACACCATCCAGTAAAGTGGATAGAAGGAATCTCTGGTAGGACCAAAGTTGTCATCTCAGTGCAACAGTAACAGTAACAGCAGCAAAGCTTTGGACTTGAAAAGTGTTTTTACCGACGAACTATGAGAATGTCGTTACTCGATAGGGGAAAATAAACAACCACGAAACGAGAGGCAGGTTACTTATCCACAAACTGATCTAAGAAAGCACCCAGATCCGACTTCTTAAAGCTACGTCACAGCACCTGCCGAAAAGAGGTGAAATGTATACCCAATCGATGCCAGTAGATCATACAGAGACTTATCTCGAGAAGCACTGCGAACATCAAAATTGCGAATAAAAAGGCGACACGAGCAAAGAAAGTAACAAATACCGTACTTGATAACAGATTTGTTGCTAATAAATCTAGTCCATACCGTGAAGCCTAAGCTTTCAGTCGTACACTTTATAGCTAGACAAGATTTTTTACTGTCGTCAAGGTACCAGCATTTACCGTTGTGGTGGACGAGATTTGGCTGGTGCTCTGGTCGGGAGGTGCATTTCGGTGAAACGGGAGCGACAGCCCCCAAGTGGGTCGGAGTGGGGAAGCAGAAAACGTTGGAGTCATTTGCAGTGGGGGAGTGGGACTCAGGTGTGGCGTGGAAATTGGTCAGTTTTGTGGTGCTCCTCGGCGTCGCATGACCACCTTTCAGGAAACCGTTGGCAAGCGTTGTCGTTGCCGGCGCCATAGGTGGAGGATAGATTCTGCAGGCCAGGTTGGACTCGTGAGACTTACTGCGGTGTAGGGGGAAAGCGAACTTAATTCGGTGTTTGGAGGGAGGTGTGGTAGGCATTTTGAGTACTCTTTCGCGAGGTGTCGAGTTGCGTTGGAAGAAGGAGCAAGGTGAATGAGGTGGCTGTGGAGGACTGTCGTTGGTGCTAGTGTAAGACGTCGACATTAAGGCACCCCTCGATGGGGATTTCTGATGAATGGGAGTTCCAAAAACTCGAGGAGCAGGTGTGGAAGGAACGGAGAGCCCACCGTCCAAATTGCATGCCTTGATATTTGCGGAATTAGCTCGGTGTGTCCCGGGGGAAAGAGCTCGATAAAAACGTTGAAAGGGTACGGGCGTTTTAGCGTGTCGAGAATTTCTATTTAAGGTCTGCGTCGTAAGGTCCATAGCGTAAGCGGGGTGATTAAAAGAGAATTGCTGGTTAGAATTATTTATTGAAAAACACGAAGAAGGATGACTTTCTGCACCAGAACGGAGGGAAGGAATGGGAGGGGAAATTACTTCATTGAAGTACTCAATTTCGCTCGTCTGGTCGGAGCTGAACCGACCTGAACGCAGGGTGAGCCGATTGCCAATTGCAGCGTTAGAATCATGAGTCGATGCGGGACAAGAACTTTCCTCGATTTCTTGAGGTCCAGTCACATAGAGTGGAGGGCTGGAAAGCGGATCACAATGGAGAAGTACGGATCCATCCAGCCTCTCATACTCAGGGAAGGGTTCACTCCTTTCAGTCAGTTTTATAACTTGCTTTATCAAATTCCGTGTGTCGTCTTCGAAAGGCTGATCGCTCTCTAACAAGTCGATATTGCTGCGTATTTTTGATAGACCCATCAATATTCGATCAGTGTCCTCTTGAGAAACACTATAATCGTTTAAGATACCCATCACCTCATTCTCTGGCATATCCAAAAGCTTCAAAAAGGTTATATCGCGTAGATAGAAAAGGCCGTTAATCGTGTCTTCGTCAATGCCCAAACAACGAAAGCATGAAATTGAACTAGGATACTTCAGCAAAATAGAATCAGCCACATCCTCTTCCGCGTTGCAAATTTCCGAAATTTGCTGCGCAATGTATTCAAATGTTTTATTCTAGAAAAAGATGCACTGTTTCAGTACCTTACCTCTCCGTCTTGGACCTCTAAATTTAGAATGTCCCAGTAGTCATTGGATTTTTTGAGTTCTTTCCTTAGTGGAGTAAGCACGTAATCCAAGGTTATATCAATAAGACTTTGCAAATCGGTGCAATACTGCAGGGGAGTTTTACAAGCGTTATCAACCCGCGTAGCGGACATTTCGGAACAGGCGCATACACTACTGGCGCAACATCATTTGGTCACCTAGCTTAGGGGATTTCGACCTAAGCCTTGTTCATTTACATTCACTGGACGCAGATCCGTTTAAGACCACAAAGAAGTACAAAAACATTTTTTTACAAAGCATGCACTTCACGTAGTTTTATGCTTAACCGAGCACTAAGGCAATATTAACTCATCTAAGCAGTAACATACATCCTCAATCCAGATGCATTTAATAAAATAATATGAAATAGGGATGTACACATAATTAATAACAAACAGGAAAAGATAAAGTGTGGATTGGAAAATCCAAAAGGCTCTATACTCTTTGACGCTGCAAGAATAGGTAACATAAATGTTTTAATGATTTTTATTCTTTGTAGCTTCCAATTATCTTAGGAAGAAAATTGGTTTACCTCACTTTGACTCATGACAGTCCTAAGTTGTTTTACATCTTTCTGGCGTTGCATGTTTTTTGGGGGGGCTTGCTCACAAAATCTAATTAGGCTAGCTATTTAGATATGCGTATCTGCTGCCCCTTATACAATTGCTACACATTTATGTTACGATTGCGGCGCGCTGTTTATTCCACGAATCGCTGGTGTGCGTGCAAAATGCGGGTCCTCAATAAAAGCATACATAAGTACCTGTCTGGCACTATTTCGATGATTGCTGAGAATGAGGAAGATATGTGGCTCGTATACAACCTTGTTCAAGTTGGTGATAGGGTTTGCTGTTCTACAATGCGCAAAGTGCAGACCGAAAATGCCACCGGGAGTGTTACCTCTAAAACCGTTCGAACCAATCTTACAATCGAAATAGAAACAATTGATTTTGATACTCACGTAACCGTCTTACATACTTCATGATGACTTTTTGTTCTCTTGGTCCTTTAAATACTCATTCTCCTTAAAGTTGCCTCAATGTGCGCCTTATGCATGCATGCATTGTTTTTTTCTTCTATTCGCACGATTGCTATATCTCATGTTCATAAAGCAATTTGAGGTGGTTTCTGTAGAAATTGACTCCAGTTGTTGCTATAGGGGTCAGTGCTTCACCTCAAAGGCAAGAACGTAGTGGAGAACCAGCATGTAAAAATGGGTGCATACCACACGCTGCAAATTGGTGTGCAGGAGAAGTTCACACTGTACAAGGAGTCCTGGGACACAGTATCCCTTCTTCTGGTGGATCAGGCAGGTGATCCCACGCAGCAGGCCGATCTTGCCGCTGTGGTTATGCATGAGGGTCTAGCCTACGTTTGTCTTATTACCAAAACCACCACCCATGTTCGAGCCAAAATTGAGAGCACCATCCCTCGCAAACGAGCCAACATGCCCACCTCTCCGCACGATAAAGCAATTGCAAGATTCTTCGACCAAATCGTTCAAGCTATCGAACGCCACGTCCGCTTTGATGGTAAACATCCCACCCGTCTAATGGTTTACGCTTCTAATGTACTCACAATTTTTTTCCTGCATTTTAGTCGTTAAGTGTGTGATTGTTGCCAGTCCAGGCTTCCTGAAGGATCATTTTTTCGAGTATCTTTGTCAGCAGGCGTTGCGTGGCGCGGAGGATAAACGGATATTCCTGGATAACAAGAGAAAATTCGTGTTGGTGCACTCTTCTTCAGGTCATAAGCACGCGTTAAAAGAGGTTCTCGCCGATCCTGTAGTGGTGAGTAGGATTGCCAACACTAAGGCAGCGGGGGAGACCGCTGCATTGAACGACTTCTATCAGATGCTAAAGGTGAACCCCTCTCGTGCCTTTTATGGGTAAGTCTCCCCTTTTTTTCATTCTCTCGTAAATATGTGCTCTTTAACTAATATACCTTCGTTCTCGGCAGAGTAAAACACGTACAAGCAGCTGTTGACTCGTTCGCAGTGGAAACACTCCTGATCTCGGATGCCCTCTTCCGCTCTCGAGACCTGGCGGAACGTAAAAAATTCGTTGCCATTGTTGACTCAGTCACTAAGAACATGGGCAATGTGCGCATCTTCTCCAGTCTTAACGTTTCCGGCGAACGTCAGTTGTCCGCTTACCCCATTGCCATCTCTATCACTAATATCGCTAACTATGGCCTTTCTCTCTTTAGAGTTGAACCAACTGTCAGGAATTGCGGCAGTCCTGCGCTTCCCCGTAGCGGAGCCTCAGTCTGACGACGAGGATGACGAAGATGACTCTGATGACGGAGAAATGGTTACCGCCTGAGTAACTCATCTTCATTCCCTCATCTTAACCCTCTCTTAATGTACAGAGCCTCGGACTACCCATTTCCCGTATTAGACAAGACGCAGACTATTTTTTGTTGTCTGGATGAAGCGTTGCTTCCGACGGAAGTGCTCTCTCCTCGAAAACTACTTTTGGATTTCCACCCAGATTGGGATCTAAGCAGCAAAATTACCGACTCACTGGAACCGTTATTGCACACTCGCTGAGTGGAGCTCGTTGGTCTTCTCTAGAAACGCCACTTAGGATAATGTCGCTTATTTGTCCTGTCTTCTCCAGCGCTGTGCTAGACGGTTACGTGGTATCCCTTACCGTAATCACTGTGGCTCGATGCCAGGAGGCTGGCGCTCAAGACTCTAGTAAGAAATCGATAAGTGACCTTTTAAAGAAACTGAGGAGCACGTCCACAGATGAGTGACTCAGTTCACACCGATGTGACCAAAAGCCTAGTAGTGATACCCGTCCAAAGTGAACAGGCGACATTCGCGCTGTGCACGTAGATTTGAGAGTGCGATCGATGAATTTTTACTAATCTTATGATACGTTTCATCCGCACAAATGTAGCCGCACGAAGCTCTTGAGCCGCAATCACCTTCAAATGCACACAGTTCTTCAATATTGCCGCGAACCGTTACTCGCATTTAAGTCGTAATACTAGTGAGAATAAATTAGGTCAAAGTTAGCTCACTAGTCCAGCTTCGTGATCCCACTTTAGATCCTAAAGTAAGTTCATTACAAATTTTACACATATACTTTGCTTGCCAAGAGTAAAAAGGAGATCAGGTGGGCTTCTTAAATTTGTGTGACTTGATCATGTTAACGCGGATGCCCCTCAACTCGCCGGCGTATGGAGTGTCCTCCTTCCGTATGTTAGGTACCCTTGATTTATAGCGGATTTGGGCCTTCCTGTACTTGTAGCGCAGATGTACACGTGGATTCCTCTCGCGTTTATGACGATACTTCACAATGCCTCGATTTTCCATGATCTAGATGACAAAAAAATCATTTGTTATAACGTTTCTACGTAGTGTAAATGGAAAGGGTGCTTCCGGTGTAAATTGACCTCTTTCGTAACTGGGCGATTAGGATATAGTACAGAGCGCGAATGCTTCTCGCCTTCCTTTCCATTAGATTTCCCCTCATCACTGTTGTCCACGTCCATCGCCTCGTTTTCGTCGTCGTTACTGCCTTCAGGAGTGGCCTCCTCTTCAGAGTCTGCATTGAGAGCTTCCATAAGACCGGCTTTTGCCTCCCGGAGAGACCTGTAGAATAGGAAAATCGGCCGAGTTCTTCATCGTAGCACACAACAGAACTACGAATTGATGCATACAAAAAAGTGGGAAACACGTAAGTTGCTTTGAACTGCAATGTCACCATAACTCTTACTTATTTTAAACTAAACTTACACTAACTAAGGTGACACACGAGAACGGTAAAAAACTAGCCATTTTGCCAAATAAATTGACGAAAACTCAGATTTTGATGACATTTAAATACACCAAGGTTACGTACTGCTACCTCACAAGATTTATTCAATAACAGACATGGAAAGTGAAGAAAATAATACATAAAGTACAAGTACCTAGTGTTCGAAGAATTTGCTGTTGCATCACGCTGCGAAGAATGGAAAAGCTGGTTGAATATCGTCAATATTCTAATATGAGTAGAATGATGGGCGTGGTCGTACCTCTTGCGAAAGAGCACTTTTGAGGTCAGCTAAAGGTAGGAGGACACTTAGGCTAAAAGAGGAGAAGCAGATACAATTAGTAAACCACTTTTGTAGTGAGAAAAAGTGGAATCACGAACGAAGAAACCTTGGGAGATATCTGTCCAAAATCTGATTAGCAGTATTGTTGCTGCAAAACTGTCCCAAATGCTGGTAAATTTATGATTTTGGACTTAATCTGGCCTTTATAAGGAAACACGAAACAGCGATACAAAAGCCAACCCACTAAGGGAAATTTTCTTGCAATCCGTACTTTTCACCCTAATTAAATCAACTTTAAAACTACATACAAAATACTTTCCTTCGCTGGTTGTGTGCCACGATAACTTTGTTTTAAAAAGCCGTAAAATAATCCATCAATCCTTGACGCTTTTCAGCTCTAAATAAATCATGACAACAAAAACGGAAAAGGAAATTGCGTGAAAAGTGAGCACTCCGTTCCTGTTCTTCAGGAGAATGGTTCTTTAAAGTAAACGGAATTCATCTTTCATATTCGCGAAAACAATTATCAAAATTATGCAAATGAAACGATCTGCTTGCAAAAATTGCAGCGTGAAATATAACAGTAGAATTGTAGAACGCCTTCCACAAAACGAAAAATGGAGTAGGCGTGTTGAGCAACAGACGTACAACTGGGCGCGCTGTTGCGAGTTGGCTATTTGTTTAGCCATTTCGTGAATGTGGAGTTCCACCACCCTGCTATCCGCCGCAGCCGACCTGCCCAGGCACAGCAGGCGGTCACCTGCAACGTTGAAGAAACCCGAGTCGTCGGCCACTGTCTTCTGACGCTCCTTAAACAAATATGTCAAGGTATGCAACCATTTTAGAGATGTGAGTTGGGCTGTTTAAAAGACTTAAAATGTAAAATGCAAGCCCGGTAATGTATCGATGCAAATCGACACCTCGTCTAAAAAAACCGCACCGAGTGCCACTTTTATCACATTGACAAAAGTTTTTTATAGAAAAACAGTAGTCTAAAAAATTTAAGACACCGATACTCTCCATAAATTGTGCCCCCAATCGCGTACCATTGTCCTCCCCAAGGTGTTGGATCTATTTTACTGATAATTTAGACACTTTATCCTAGTCAAAGCCATTGATAATACTCAAAATTGTTGCCTACACATATCATGGCTTCAAAGGTACGTAATAAACGGCAATATTCAAGTCAAAGCAAAAGTCGAAAATTGTCCAGTGCATTTTAAATAACACAACATAACATTTATCACGAAAACAAAACGGAGGTAAAATTCACACTAAATACGATTAGGCGCCCACCAATCAGGTAAAACAGTGGCAACTAAGATCAAACAGAACTGACGCCATGTAAATATCTTAGCTGACGGTGGATAGGATTGTGATGAAAGCCCGGAGTAGCGATACGGCGATGTACAAGGTAGGATTGAAGGACACCACAGTAACTTGAAGAAAAAACGCATAATGAAAGCGCGACACAAACTTAAGTAGAGAAAGTTGCTGACAAAATCTCACTTTGACAGCCATGCAATGCGTTCCTTAACGAAGGTGGCAGTGACTGAATCTGGCGGGAGGTTTTGCAACACCGCAGAGGTGAAGCCAGATTTGGTCGGGGTTTCAAGGCCCAAGTACTCGGCCAGTGGAATCCACTTTTCGTTCAGCCAGGTCTGACACTTGTCAAGTTCCCTAAACCACAGGCCACAATCCGGGTAGTTGTCGTTAAGATACTAAGGGGAACATAGAAATCGGATTACGCATCACAAAGACCCAATTTTTTTCACATTTGATTTTTCCTTGAATTTATTCCTGGACTGAATAAGGTAGCATAAGCGTGATTAGGTACTGAATGGCCAAACCATTAAAAATATCAGGTACGTGTAGCAAGAAAACTTATCTGGCTTAGAGAATGGGTGCGAAATCATATTACGGTCACTCACGGACTACCTGCTGTAAGGAAAGTCGACTAAAAGTTATGCCACCTACACAAAGCACTGATATTCCAGAAATGGAGAGAGTGACGCAGAAACAAGGCTAAGTTTACCTTTTGAACAGTCGCCTTGTCACGATTCCTAGGCCAAACTAGGAGGGGGAATCCATGGCTGCGGAAAGCTGCAGCCTCCTCATCCAATGTTGCTGGAAATTTGGGTAATTTGCACACATTGGTAATGGCCTTTTCAAAAATGAGAAAATCGAGTGTTTTATTCAAAGCGGATGGAACATCTTCACGAATATGCAACTGAAGTCGACTTTGACCTGATGAATAGAGCAGCTCGCCTCTTGAAAGTGGACTTGTAAAGAAAGCAATGGATGAGTGCGGACTGGGATGAATTGTATAAAGTGACGACTGCCTTTGGTGACAATCCTTAAAAAAAAGCCTCACGGACTCTAAAAGGAAATTATTGAACAAAATACAGGATAAGTAGGACAATTTCAACCCAAAATATATCTAGTGGCAACGGGAATAATAAAAACGTGGAAAGAGGACAAGCAATTCAAGTTGATTCCTCTTCTCCAAAACACCTTCGTCATTCTCGTCATATTTTTCACCACCGTAGTATCTGCTTTGTGCTTTTGTAGAGCTCTAAAAACAGTAAAATCACAAAAAGCGAACAATCCAATACCATGCCTCGCACCGAAGCCAAATAACTAACCGCTCTCTAATCTTGTCCATTATAACAATGAGCTGCAAATGTGCTAGAGACAAAGTAACGCAAAGCATCTAGCAGCACTTGAAAAAAGGATTAAAAATTTTGACATTTTCTTGATCCAGCACACGACTTCTTGCCTCTTTATTAAAGGTCAGACCATGAAGTACCAATTACGACTTTTTATAATGCAAAATACGTTTACCTTAACCAAGAAATTTTAATCTTTTTGCCTCTAAGATATAAGAGATATACTAGAATAAAACTTTGCCCCCACATAAGTGCACCTGAAAAGTGGGAGAATCTGCAAAATTGCCACTTAATGTAATGTTACCCTATAGGCTTTGTGTAATACGATAGTGGTTTATCCCTCGGTTCTGGTGAGGCGCCACTTTTGTGCTTCGAGTTAGCCCCCTTGTACCTCGCTGGGTGGGCTGGCCTTTTGGGCCATGCCAATAGCCCAGACACCTTCTCTGCGCTGAATATATATTCTGCCCGAGTATTTTGTCTTCTTTCGTCTTCAGGGAGTCTCGGGACGCTACATTGGTGGCAGCGGAAAGCGAACCCGATCTTGAAAGACATGTATCCTGATTTTCCACTTCTGCATGATAAGCCTTAGTGGAGCGGAAGAAGTACATATGCTACGGATGGGAGAATGGTGATGACCCCTAACGGAAGGGTTGATGTTGACGTCTACCTTTGGCATCTCTCCCAGTCTC